GCTTGGGAATTATAGTAATAGCATGATGCTATAGAGAAAAGCAGTCTTGGAAATGTAGTTTTTCAGCCCAAAATGGTGATACTGCCCAAAAACTGTTTTTTCAGCTCCAGATGCAGTTTCTTTTCCAAGTGATGTTAGAAAGCTTAGTCTTACCTCCTGAGAACTAGGAACAGGAGAACAGGTTGCCTCGAAGGAGATAATTAAAGTGCTAATACTCTTTGTCAACAAGACACTTTGAAATCTTTTAGCTTTCAAAACAAGGGAAAATGGCTCTTACACTAGGAAATTGCTTTGGGTGTGAAAAAAACCTACAAGATTGAGTTGTGCTTAAGATACAACAGGGAAACATTGGCATCATTAAGGGAACTCATGGTAATCTTAAAAAGCAGCTTTAAAACATTAAAAGGGGGAAAAACTGTACCCTTAGTCACCAAATAAAGCTTACTGGCTACCCACAGGAGTCTCATATCAAAGCTGACCATGAATTCTGAACTTAGAAATAAAGCGGTGTTGAGTTCACTTATAATTTTTACTATGGTGCTCATGATTTGTGTACTCTCTACCTTATTGTAAGAAAATAAGTTAGTTCTGTTAAGAGATTCTTTCTAGTGTAAGTTAGTTCTGTTAAGAGATTCTTTCTAGGGCTGGAGAGATGGCTCAGCCGTTAAAGGCTAGGCTCACAACCAAAAATATAAGAGATTCTTTCTAGATGTCTGTAAAATAGCTCTATAGAGTTTCCTCTTGAATATAAGTTTGGTAAATAGTTCTTCTAAGAAATCTCTTCTAGATATGTGCTAAAGTTTGTAAATTAGAGTTTCCTTATGAATATAAGTTTGTAAAAATAGTTCTATAGAGTTTCCTTTTGAATATGTTTGTAAGAAGTATAAATAAGTATAAGTATATGTTGAATGTGAGTTCATTCTATTTTTTAATATGAATACCCTATGGGCTTGAGCTTAGCTCCTTGACCTTTTAGAAACTCTGAAATTGTTATTTCAGTAAAGGTTTATTTTTTTGTTTTTAAATTTTTTGTATGTTTTATCTGCATGTATGTATGTATATATAATATATACTATATATTATATATCATGCACATGTCTTGAGCCTAGAGGCCAGAACAGGATTGCTGTGGGATGTTCTGTATGTCAAATGTGTTGCTGATTAGTCAATAATTAAAACACTGATTGGCCATTGGCTAGGCAGGAAGTGTAGGCGGGACAAGGAGGAGAATAAAGCTGGGAAGTGGAAGGCTGAGTCAGAGAGACACTGCCAACTGCCATGATGAGAAACAACAGCATGTGAAGATGCTGGTAAGCCACAAGCCATGTGGCAAGGTATAGATTAATGGAAATGGATTAATTTAAGCTGTAAGAACAGTTAGCAAGAAGCCTGCCACGGCCATACAGTTTGTAACCAATATAAGTCTCTGTGTTTATTTGGTTGGGTCTGAATGGCTGTGGGACTGGCGGGTGTGAGAGAGATTTGTCCTGACTGTGGGTCAGGCAGGAAAACTTAAGCTACAAATGGCGTCCAACGTGGTGGCAAGAGTTTCCACCTAAAACCTAAGAAAAGATTCTAAAACGGAGCTAAAACAGCTTCCTAATTGTCTCTCTCAAATGAGCAGCAGCTGCCGGTTTGAGCTACTGGTGGGTTCCTAGAGTGCGTGCTCAACCTGCAGTATGGCGGGAATGAGGCCTCTGCAAGTGGCACATTAAGCTACATGGTGGATTTAGCCTTTGCTAGTACAAAACAAAAAAGGGTTTCTGGGCTACTTGCTGCTTGGATAAAAGCATAGACCCACGATAGCTCCCAGAGCTGGCGGTAAACCATGGCCATGTTGGGAAGCTGAGGTGGGTGGATCCAGCAGCCACAGCTGCTGCAGTTTAAGGCAATAGATTCACAATAAGACAGATTCAGATGTAATAGTTTACAATGTGTGTAAAAGATACGTAGGCTTGAAAGAGACAAAAAAGATGATATATAGAGTTATAGAAACAAATACATAGTTTTAAAAAATAAAGTCTTTAAAGAGACAGTAAAGGTAGTATAAAAAATAAGCCACGTAAAAATGGATATTACACAGAGAATCTGCATTGTGTTGTCTTTGGGACTTTTAACTGCAGAAAAACATTTCATTGTAAAAGCTGTTGAGTTACGCCAAAATGTATATTTTAAAGGTATCTTGACTTCAAAATTTGAATATAAGGATATGTTACTTTGGAAAGGAGACTCTGCTTTTGTTTCCACAGAAAGCCAGAGGCTATGGATTTGTTCCAGATTAAGACACATCAGGTTTGACCAGCCAAGACCCCCTGAAAGGTCTCCGATGACACCATGGCCCAGATGATCCAACATCCAGAATGGTTTGAAGGCAACTGGCTCAGACGATACACCCTCATGGACTTTTCCATGATCCTAAAATTTTCTTTGTATCCCCATAAGATACAGCGCCCCCCTCCAGCAGGAAGTAGTAAGAGAAGCTACGCCCAAATTCCCAAATTATATGTAATTTTACTTTGTTAAGGTTAAAACCTTCCTTTTTTTTTTTTAAAAAAAGGGGGGAAGTGCTGTGGGATGTTCTGTATGTCAAATGTGTTGCTGATTAGTCAATAATTAAAACACTGATTGGCCATTGGCTAGGCAGGAAGTGTAGGCGGGACAAGGAGGAGAATAAAGCTGGGAAGTGGAAGGCTGAGTCAGAGAGACACTGCCAACTGCCATGATGAGAAACAACAGCATGTGAAGATGCTGGTAAGCCACAAGCCATGTGGCAAGGTATAGATTAATGGAAATGGATTAATTTAAGCTGTAAGAACAGTTAGCAAGAAGCCTGCCACGGCCATACAGTTTGTAACCAATATAAGTCTCTGTGTTTATTTGGTTGGGTCTGAACGGCTGTGGGACTGGCGGGTGTGAGAGAGATTTGTCCTGACTGTGGGTCAGGCAGGAAAACTTAAGCTACACAGGATGTTGGACCTGGAATTAAAGATAACTGTGAGTTGTCATTTGGGTTCTGGGAACCGAACCTGGATCATTTGCCAGAGCAATAAGTATTCTTAACTGTTGTGTTATCTTTCCGGCCTCTAGGGATTTTCCTTTAAATAAATATATGATACCATATGATGATCAGGTTAAAAACAAAAAACACTCAAGTTCACCTAGTAAATGCAAACCCTAGGATACATTATTTCCAAGTCATTGCAACTAGTAAACAACTACAATTCTAACATTAAATAAATGGACATATTTTATCACAAATTTTCATTTCTTAAAATAGTTATAAAAAGAAATTGACTTGTTGCAGAATGTTAGGCTTTGGACAGCTATTGAAATTAATGATCCATGAATCACAATCAATCTTATTTAGAAAAATAGTTCATATAATTAGTTTATGCACACATGATTGGAATGATAAAATGCTGTTATGTAATTGTTCATAATTAAAATATTAAGTCACTGCTCTTGTTTTTAAAATTCCAAACAAGTTGATTCATAATTACTTCGTATTTACTAGCTTAGGGTTTTATCATTAAATTTGGATCTCCTTTTCTGAGACTCAAGGAAAGAACTTGATAAAACACATATGTAAAATCCAATGTAGATGCATATAAAAATAAAATGAAGGACCTGACTCCATCCTAATAATACCCTAAAATCTAAAACAAAAAAGAAACATATCATCTTAAAAACATTACCCAAGCAGAACACAAACTTATTAGAGTTTTATTTGAATCTGACTTTCAAATCTGTAATTCCCTATCATTTTCTCTGACAGCCATCCCACAAATGAAGAAAGAACCTCCCAGAAGTCCACTTACTTCCTCCCTTCTCCTTAGCTGTGATGGGTGATATCATTCTGTATACTGTAAAAATGTGTTGCTCTGATTGGTTGATAAATAAAACTGTCTGGCCAATGGTGAGGCAGAATAAGGTTAGGCAGGACATTCTAAAGAGACATAGTAAGGAAGAAGACAGAGCAGGGGACACGCTGCTAGCTGCTGCCAGAAGAAGCAAGATGTAAAGTTACCAGTAAGCCATGAGCCACATGGCAAAGTATAGATTTATAAAAATAGGTTAATTTAAAATATAAGAACTAGATAACAAGAAGCCTGCCATGGTCATAGTTTAAAAATAATATTAGCCTGTGTAAGTTTATTTGGGTCTGAGCAGCTGTGGGACCAGTGGGTGAGAGAGATTTGTCCTGACTATGGGCCAGCCAGGACACAAAAAAAACTTTCAACTACACCTATATCTGATTTTTCATTTAGCATGGTTTTTAGATTCATTCAAGTAGAATGAAGGAAGTTGACTTTTCTTTACTTTCTACACCTTAAACGAACATCTGTCACTATGATGAATCAGAATTGAGCCAATGTTCTTTGGTCTTCTGTAAGGGGTAGTTTAGTATAGACATATCTCAAGACAATAACTATGGCCTACAGTGGTTTTCAACTGGTTTTGGGCCACTTTAAGAGAAACAAAGTTAAAGAATGTTCACTATCAGAATATGGTCATAGCATTAAGACAAAGTTCCTTGGTTGTAGGGTAGTGGTAATTGAGCTATCTTAATGAATGCAATTAAATTTTTTTCAAGACTATATTAAACCAAGGAATTTTTAAATATGCTCATTCAGAGATGAAATAAGCTAAATACTTTTCAGAGACAGGAGAGCAATGGTTATTAATTCCCTGTTTACTAATGTAGTTTCTATAATCCTGATTGGATGAGATTTATTATGATGACATAATATAATGGATTTTTTAAAAAAGATTTATTTATTTATTTATTATGTATACAGTGTTCTGCCTGCATGTATCCCTGCAGGCCAGAAGAGGGCATCAGACCTCATAAGGATGGTTGTGAGCCACCATGTGGTTGCTGGGAATTGAACTCAGGACCGCTAGGAAGAACAGCCAGTACTCTTAACCACTGAGCCATCTCTCCAGCCCATAAAGGATCTTTGTACTTATTAAAATATTAAACAATAATTTAAAAAAACCTGTTGGTATCCTTGTCTTCTCAATCCAATTTGAAGTTTGTTTGTTCATAGGACACTTCAAGGATGCCACTTTGAAACAACTTTCATACATGTTGATTTCTTTGGACTGAACTGCTTCTTGGATTGGACTCTTAGAAGTTTCTAAAGTATATGTCCGTTGGTGTTTGTTAAGACTCTGATTCATACGTCTGGAGCTGAAAGAAATTGAGTACTGTAATCTCAATGTCAACTACTTATACAAGAGTAATGCAGTTTTTCTATTTGCCTTTTATACTTTAGTATGTAATCTTTGAGCTCTCACCAGCCTGTGATATAGGCAGAAGAGCTAGTAATAGTCCTATTTTAAAAAGGAGGATAATAAAGATTAATCAATTTTCTTATGCTCATACAGGTAATAAGAGGCAGCATCAAATCTAACAGTCCTATTTTCGAATTCCAGTGCTTTTCCTATTATCTTTTTAAAGATTTATTTTTATTTATGTGTATGTGTTTGTGTCTGCATGAATTTATGTGTACCATATGTTGGCTGCACAGGTCCTCTGGAAGAACAGTAAATGCTTTTAACTACTGATATCTGTCTTCAGCCCTGTCTTTTCTTATCTTGGTATTTATCATTTAATTTCTTTCCATAGGATATCTTATCTTAAAATGCTTAATTCTAGGTCCAAGTATAGTTATGTTCAAAAATGCCTGTCATATTATCATTTACGTAACCAATTCTCTAGGCTTTTGAAGTAAGAGAATATACAAACAGAACCCTTTTCATTGTCATTAAACAGAAATCAGGTCCTTGAGAAAGAAGCCACGGAAGGAAGAAAAGTTACACCATCACCTCTTGTAGTGAAATTACATAGTTGGGCAAATTCAGTGAATTCTCAGATGCTTATCTGTGATTTACCTAAGTCACTGTCCAGACAGTGGTTGATATCATTCCTACAGACAAGAAAACTGGCCAAAGGTAGTAGAGAAACAGTAGTTACCAGTTCAGACAAAGATTCAAAGCTGGCCAATATAATCTTTGACTTCCCTTTCTGTGCCTTTTCCAGGCTTTAGATGCTAGTTTTACCTCTGTGTGACCAATGGTCCATAAACTATTTTTAAAATGAGAAATCAGATAATTCAATGATAAACACATAGAAATAAATATTTAGCTAAGACTTTAAAGTATCCATTAAGGACAGTTTGGGGATAATGAAATTGTCTCAGAACCCTTCAAAACTGTATCTGTAGGTGCTCTTACATCTTAGAGTGATCTAGACAGGTAGGATCTAAAGATGAACTTGATCAACAACTTTTTTCAAAGAGTAATCTTATTTATTGCTTTAATTCAAAATCAAAACATTCTAAGACAGAAGAAAAAGAGTAATATGGTTAGGAGAAATCAAAAGTAGTTCACCTACCTTGAACGCGTTTTTCGGGGATAAAAGATATGTTCAGGAATTTTCACTAAAAAGGAGAATATACCATGAAATATCTGGTTACATTTTTTTTTGTTGTTTTTTTTTTTGTTTTTTGAGACAGGGTTTCTCCATGTAGTTTTGGTGCCTGTCCTGGATCTTACTCTGTAGACCAGGCTGGCCTTGAACTCACAGAGATCCGCCTGGCTCTGCCTCCTGAGTGCTGGGATTAAAGGCATATGCCACCGCCGCCCGGCTGGTTACATTTTAAGATCAACAAAAGTTAATTTTTTTATATTCTTGGCAATTACTTTATGTACACTTAATAGCTAGATAATTTAGTTCATCTTTAGTTAAATGATGTCTTGTTCATACACATGAAATATATGAGTACACATTCCTCTTGTGAGCCTTTTAATAAGACTGTTCCGAGAGAAGAATAAACAGGAAAAATATCTATATATTAACTACCAATTGGAAAGTAATCTATGGGCTGGGAATTCAACTCAGTGGCAGAGGACTTGCCTAGCATGTGAGAGGCTCTGAGTACTCTAGAAGAAAAAGAAAGTAAAAAAAGAAGAAGAAAGGAGGAGAAGGAGGAGGAGGAAGAAGAAACAACCACCATCACCAAAAATCAAAACAAAACACCCCCACAAACCTGTGAAGGACATTTACAGATACACTAATATGATCAGCATTTTAGAGAGTTGATCTAGGATGCAGATGTATTAGACCAAAGTAAAGTATAATGTATAATAACTACTATGCACATATTTTAATATAAAAATTGGGGCCTAAATTATATATTATTATATATTATTTTCTTTGACATTATTTATATCTTACTATTTAAGCAAAATAACAATAGAACTAGTTAACAGTGGCAATCATAATTAATAGCAGAACAAGTTAACTAGTGGATAGTGATAAAATATACTTTTATAATATTTCTTCCCTCTGATATAGACTCTTTTTAAAGGTATGGTCTTATATAGTTCAGACTAGCCTCAAATTCTCCATATAAGAGACCAGCATACCTCTCATGTAATAAGCAAGTGAGTTCACCACCTACTATTTTGACTGAACATTGTTGTTTTGGAGGAAGGTGAAAATATTTTCAATTGATTCAGTTTTTGTTTGTCCAATCCCAGATACATAAGACTTAAGTCTACTTTACCTCTTTTCCTTTAGGATGACTTAACAGGCAAATGAAGGCATGCCAAATGTGTGAATGAAGGATTTATTCAATTCAAAGTGAGGATGGCCACTTGGGACATAGTCTAGCAGCCCAGAGTAAGTGCTCTAAGGTTTACAAAATTATGGCTACATTTATAGTTTTTTAAATTTTATTTTATAATTTAATTTAATTTTACATATCAGCCACAGATTCCCTTGTTCTCCCCCCCTCCCGCCCCCCCTGCCTTCCCCCCAGGAGACCCCCCATTCCCATCTCCTCCAGGGCAAAGACTCCCCTGGGGATTGAGTTCAACCTGGTAGATCCAGTCCAGGCAGGTCCAGTCCCCTCCTCCCAGGCTGAGCCAAGTGTCCCTGTATAAGCCCCAGGTTCCAAACAGCCAGCTCATGCACTGAGGACAGGTCCCGGTCCCACTACTTGGATGTCTCCTAAACAGATCAAGCTAATCAACTGTCTCACTTATCCAGAGGGCCTGATCCAGTTGGGGGCTCCTCAGCTATTGGTTCATAGTTCATGTGTTTCCATTCGTTTGGTTATTTGTCCCTGTGCTTTTTCCAATCTTGGTCTCAACAATTCTCGCTCATACAAAGCCTCCTCTTTCTTGCCAATTGGACTCCTGGAGCTCCACCTGGGGCCTGACCGTGGATCTCTGCATCCAGTTCCCTCAGTCATTGGATGAGGTTTCTAGCACCACAATTAGGGTGTTTGGCCATCCTATCACCAGAGTAGGTCAGTTCGGGCTTTCTTTCGACCATTGCCAGTAGTCTATTGTGGAGGTATCTTTGTGGATTTCTGTGGGCCTCTCTAGCACTTTCCTTCTTCCTATTCTCATGTGGTCTTCATTTATCATGGTCTCTTATTCCTTGTTCTCCCTCTCTGTTCTTGATCCAGCTGGAATCTCTCGCTCCCCTAAGCTCTCTTTCCCTCGACCCTTGCCCTTCATTACCATCACTCATGTCCAGGTTGTTCATGTAGATCTCATCCATTTCTCTGTCATTGGGCGATCCCTGTGTCTTTCTTGGGGTCCTGTTTTCTAGGTAGCCTCCCTGGAGTTGTGAGTAGCAGTCTAGTCATCTTTGTTTTACATCTAGTATCCTCCTATGAGTGAGTACATACCATGTTTGTCTTTCTGAGTCTGGGTTACCTCACTCAGGATGATTTTTTTTCTAGATCCATCCATTTGCAAGCTGCATGAAGAGTTTGAAATGATTTGTTCTGGCTAAGTTAAACTGTCTTGTAAAAAGTATATTGGGTATGTATCACTCTCTGGGTAGTTGGGGGTGGATTCTATTGTGCAAATTTAGTAGAACTTAATAAACAATGTTTTAGGAATCTGAAGTTTGCCAGATCCTAAGATCATCTTCATCTAGGGGGTACTTGTGTTTGAACAGAGTTCAAAGATTTAACTGTGGATGTATATGAGAGTAGATCTGTCTCCCTAGTCCATTTTAAGTGTCCAAACCAATTCTACTCTAGTTTATCTTCCTTGACACTTAATCTCAAATTAGTTTCTACATGTTGTACCTCTATTGTTTGTGTGTGCATGTGTGTGTGCCTGTGTAAGTCAGAGGTTGATATCCTGTGTCTTCCTTGTTTATTCTATTTTTGTATATGGAGACAAGGCCTCTCACCTGAACCCAGACCTTCATGATTCATCTACTCAAGCCAGCCAGCTTACTCTGGGGATCCTACTTCTGCCTTCAGAGCACTGGGATTACGGTGGCTCACCATGTCCACCTGGCTCTACTTTTAGATATCTGTCTTCCTACCTAGTTAGATATACCCTTTAATTGTCAGTAAAACAACATAGTCATTTAGCCTTCTCTCTCAAGGGATGCACAGGGCAACTGGCCTTGGAATGGTACTCATTATCTTTTCAATATCCTTGACTGAAAACTGCTTCACAATATTTGCTTCAGTGCTGAAGCTCTTTAGCAACAGAATGAACCATATTGCAATTTAATAAACTACTTGGATCAACTGTAATCAAAAGTTGTATGAGAGTGATGAATTAGGTCTAATGAATTAGGGATAAGACTAGAGTACTCTCAAAGTTTTTCTATGCCTTAGGATTTGATGAGATGTAAATGCAAATAATATTCTGTTCTCTCTTTGGTAGTATAAAACTGTAAGAAACAGCCGGGGGGGTGGTGGCGCACGCCTTTAATCCCAGCACTCGGGAGGCAGAGGCAGGTGGATCTTTGTGAGTTCGAGGCCAGCCTGGTCTACAGAGCAAGATCCAGGAAAAGGTGCAAAGCTACACAGAGAAACCCTGTCTCAAAAAACCAAAAAAAAAAAAAAAACACTATAAGAAACAGATCTATGTCCATAATCAGTCATGCCTAGGGAGGGGCACACTGAGCCCTCCCTCTCTCTGTTCAACTATTGGTTATTGACAGCTTCTGGGAGAAGGGGAGCCATTTTCTTCAGTTGTATACCCACTGTCAATCCAAACAAGCTCCAATAGAGAGCTGTAAATCTAAGGCTACCAAGTCAGTTCCAGTTAAACTTAGTCACGAAACACAACAAAAGACATGAATGTAGGAAAGGGATTTGTAGAGAGGAGGGAGAATTAATGGGGCTGGAAGGGAGAGAAAAGAGGGTAGGTGTATGAGTAACTGTATTTATATGTATATAAATATACTTCATTGTCAAATGAAAGTTAATACAAAGTTAAAAACAAATTCAGGTATAACCAATTTCTGTTGGCTTTTTCTATGCATTTCTAGAGCCAGAAAGAAGCAAAAAAATAAGCTCCTTAATTTCTAGTAAGGTGAACTGCTGGTTGGCAATCTGATTCTAAGATAATATTTTATTCTTTAAAGTATGTAGACCTTGATCAGTAAAAATTATTATTATTGCACATGTTCAGATTGTAGGTGATCGAACATTTCTGAGCCCTCTCTACTCACCCAAGCCTTGATTAGGCAATGGTCTTCTGAAACACTGAGCCACATAAACATCTGGTACAGTTGGCTTTGGATCTAGAAAAGATGGTAAAGGATCATAGCAAATGGAAATGAATGACTGATTATAGTTCCTTCATATTTTGTATCTCCTTTCAAAATGTAAAGTTCAAATAATGTCTGAACAGTAGGGTTTTTTGTTTGTTTGTTTGTTTCTTCTTTTCTTTTCTTTCTTTTTCTGTTTTCTTTTTGAGACAGGGTTTCTCTGTGTAACAGCCCTGGCTGTCCTGAACTCACTTTGTAGGCCAGACTGGCCTTGAACTCACAAAGATCCGCCTGCCTCTGCCTCCTAAGTGCTGGGATTAAAGGTACACGCTATCATACCCAGTGTGTGAATAGTAGTTTAACTCAATGACATTAACATATGACATCTTCAAATATAATTTTTTTTTGCTGTATTTCAAGTATTTATACCTCTGGGGACAACAATTCCTTCTCTAGGAATTTATTAGAAAGAAATAATTGTACACACAAATGGATAGATTTTCATGCTGTTTACAACAGAGGAAATTTAGCAACAAAATAAAAGTTGAACAATGGGCCTAGCTATACAAATCAAGATTTACAGAATAGCCAGGCAGTGGTGGGGCACGCCTTTAATCCCAGCACTCGGGAGGCAGAGCCAGGCGGATCTCCATGAGTTCAAGGACAGCCTGGGCTACAGAGTGAGTTCCAGGAAAGGCGCAAAGCTACACAGAGAAACCCTGTCTCAAAAAACCAAAAAAAAAAAAAAAAAAACAAAAAACAAAAAACAAAAAAAAGATTTACAGAATAAAATATTTTATTGTCATTTTTCCATGCAAAACTGTTTATAAAATGCTCTAATTTTGCCAGACAGTGGTAGCACATGCCTTTAATCCCAGCACTTGGGAGGCAGAGGCAGGCAGATCTCTGTGAGTTTGAGGCCAGCCTGGTCTACAGAGCAAGTTCCAGGACAGCCAGGGCTGTTACACAGAGAAACCCTGTCTCAAAAAACTATTAAAAAAATCCCAAAATAACAAAAACAAAAAACTTTACTTTTAAATGAAAAAGGAACATGGAAAATAACAAGATTATGCCATTTATTAAGATATGGCATCTTAGAAAAAGGTAAAAAGTATTCTAAAACATTATTCTTACTTTCTTTTATCTTTTAAAAAATCTTTGTGTGTGTGTGTGTGTGTGTGTGTGTGTGTGTGTGTGTGTGCGCGCGCGCGCGCGCGCGCGCGCGCGCGCGCTCATGCATGTGGGCATGTGCATGCCATAACTACCTCAGGGTCTCTTGTTTGTTTCTGCATGTACCATGTGTCAAGATAGCTGGCATCCAAGCTTTCAGAGATTCTCCTGTACACTTCTCCTACCTTACCCTGTATATTGTGATTACAGATGCTCGCTCTTGTGTCTGAGGATCCAAACTCAGGAATTTAGGCTTGTGCAGCCACCATGTTACTCAATGGGGCTGTCTTCCTAGCCCCTTTTGTGTTTATCTTTATTTCTGATTTCTGACATTTTAAACAAAAGTTATATATAAAGAATTACTGAATTCCTTGGTGATCACTATCAGAAAGAATGGGTAGTTTAAAGTTCTAGTCAAATGAATATTATTTAACCTCTCCTGTTCTTGGTATGGTTTTTATCTTCCATTGTTTAGTTTCCTACTTCACAGACTGAATTTATGCACACATGTACATATACATTTTAATTAGGTTATTTCAACTCCTTTTGGGGGGATAACGGTGGTATAAATGTATAATAAATTAGCACACATATACCTAAAATTAAATAATTATCTTTGGTAAATTATCACGATTGACATATATTACATAAAGTACACATCTACATACTTATATATTTATTATACACCTTATGACTTTTCTTCAAGTGGCTTTAAGGATAAGGTGACAGAAGTTAAATATCAGCAAAGCTAGATCAATTAAAGACATATATCAGACAGCATTTTGCAGCAGAAACAAATGAAGGTTGCAGATTTCATTTCTTTCCTGGGGTCATACTTCTTTCTATTAAGTTATGAGATGACAGGAGCAGACAGTTTAAGAACATGAAATCCCTATATTCCCTTTGAGGACAACCTTCCATAACCTTCAGAGTGGGCCTCAAATATGTGGGCTCTCTGCTGTTCCGGTCACTACTGCTCCTGTCATTGCTCCCTGGACACGCGGTTCATACTTGAACAAGGCCTTGTACCTTGTACACAGTGCTTGCTTACTTGCTTTTCTTCCCTGGTTAAAAGAGGAGCTCCTGAAAGGAAGAACTGGTATCATATATTTCTTTTTTTAAAAAACACATTTATTTATTATTATTGTGTCATGTGTGCATACATGAAGTGAGTGTATGGGGGGAGTATACGCCACTGAGAGTATGTGGAGGTCAGAGGACAACTTTGTGGATTTAGTTTTCACCTTCCATTTTTACGTGGGTCTTAGGGATCACACTCAGGTTGCCAGGCATGTGTGGCAAGCACCTTTCCCTGCTGAGCCATCTCGTCAGCCAGTATATACATCTCAGACTCTTTGGCACCAAGCACAGTGGTGACCTCAAAGTTACGGCATAAAATGAGTTTTGCTGAATAAATGAACTGTCTGTAAGAAGGTAAGACAGAAGTTTACCTTTGACATCAGAATTTGATTCTTCTTGTCTTTGGAATAAACGTTCTTTACCATAAGCCTAATGGAACAGAGAGTTGGAAAGAAAAGATGATATAGTACAAACATGAAACTGTAGTATGCTTCTTATATGATTATGATTTGATATGTTTTCAACAAACATTTCTTATTTATTTTTATTTTATTTCTGTCTTGCATTAATAAATATCAGGGAAAATCCGTATTTTTGTTCATTACTAAAGAGAGTTTTTTTTCTCATACAGAACTCATGTATCTTGACAGAGAAAAAAACATTAAAATTAGAATTATTTAAATTAGAAGTTGAAAGTATGAAATAGATGAAAATATAAACAGTTGTGTGAAAAATCTACCAACAAATTTCAGAACTATGCCTGTATACAAAAGGTAAAGAATATTTTCTTGAGCTTTGTGAAGAACTCCAAAACAAAGAAAACTTCAAGTATATTGCTTTCTTTTTTGAGGGGAAATACAAATCTGACTCACTGGACTAAAAGATACATACTGAACTTTTGACTGTGAACCTTGAATAATCTACAAATCACTGAACGAAAACATTTTCAAGCTTTTGTTTCTTTGCCTAACATTATAAAGAATTTTCTAAAAGGGTCTGAGGAAGGAAAGATCAATGAAAAGCATTTTTGCCAGCATATAGCACACATAATTCAGCAACACTAGACTATGAAATAGAGTTAATGCTAGCATCTATGATTCTAGAGCTCTGAATCCAGCCTGGGCAACAAAGTGAAACCTGTCAATGAAACAAATCAAATCATATAAAACAACACACAAACACAAAACTTGAAACAGTTAAAACATAAAATCCATTTCTTTGTATATATAATTGACAACAGATATTGACATATCTATGAAAATGAGGCAAAAGTTAAAAATCAAAATTGATTATGGGGTTGAAGAAATTGCTCAGTAGTTAGGAGTACTTGCTGGAATGATGAGGGTTTTCTCTGACTATATGTAGTTGTTCAACTCCCACTAACTTTTGGCTGATTGCTCTAATGTCTTTAACCCTACCCACAGTCATAATTTGATGTTCAGGTTAATTTTTTAAAATGTCCTTTGAATAGGCAGGTCTAGAAGTTGTGTATGAGGTCTGTTCTGAGTTTTGAAGGGCTCCTCCCAGCTGTCTCCCCAGTTTTCTCCTGCAAAGTAGCCAGGATACAGTTTAGCATGTGTTTCAAATCAACCTACCAATCTCTGCCTAATTTCTTTTTACCATATTTGCACAGGTTTTAAGAATTTCCCAAGCTTTAGCTTTCTCCATCTGTTGCAAATGAAATCAATTCTTTGGGAAGAGACTAGGATGTTTTCTGTTGTACAGCCCAGCTCTCCCTCAAGGCAAACATCCTTAGTTCTGGATTTGGGGCTGGAGAGAGTGACATTCTTCTGACTGGAACCTGGCTCTAGTAGCCTTAGGTCTCCACTATTGCCTCTCCAGGAACTGAACTCATACTTTACAAGCCAAGGCAAGAATGACCAGGGCCCAGTTATTCAGTGGTGCAGCACCCAAGATGAAACCTCTAGCCCCAAACCGGGGATGGAGTAGGCTTCTTTGTCCTTTTCTCTGCACTCCGCTCGATTACCAATGCCTTGTTCCTCCTGGGAAGAGATCTCTGGTAGCTGTGGGGAAAGGTGCCACCTACTTTCTTGGCTGCACTATTCTGCAGTAGCATTTCTGTCTTACTGAGCTAGGAGTGGAACAAGGACAGTTGGGATTCTCAGATTGCTATTTTCAATGAATGTGAGGATTTTGAGTAGATTATCTTTTCATTTTGACCTTATTTTTCACATCTAACCTTAGCCTTTGAATGGCTGTTCTTCTTTCTTTGTTAAGCAGTGTTTGCCATTTGCTAGTGAAGGGGTTTGCCAAGGTCTTGGCTGTCATTTGTCCATCTCTCAGCGCCATTTATTTTCATTCCTTCATGTTCTTTTAGGTTTCCTTGTTTTTACATTTCTTTTTAAATGCCATGGATTCATTCTGTAAGCTTTCTCAAATAATTTTAAAATAAAATAAATACAAATGAAATTCAAACATGGCATCTTAGTAAGACCTGTCTCTCACCTGTCAAGGATCTTTTGGGTTTTTGTAAACAGCAAATAATATGACCAAAGTCCTATTTATTTTTTTTCTGAAGAAAAATGAGAACACATGACTTGCTATTCTCTTGCATTCATATTTAAAACATTTTAAATCATTACAGTAATCAAGATTTACCTCTCTTGTGTTATTCTGGCGCTTTGCTAGGGAGGCATTTCTTTCCCTCTTTGTTTTCAGATACTTTTTCTTGTTTTTTACCTAGGTAAAATAGTATTTTAAATTAGTATTTAATTAATGTGTCAAAGACAGTTTGACACATTTGAGTGTCTAAATACAGGCATTTTGAGACTCACTTCCTAGAAAATGGAGTAATGACCCCTTTCTTCCCACTGCAACTGTGCACCCTAGATGCATGCAAAGCAAACACAAGAATCTATGAAAAAGTAATGGGGCTTTAGAAATGTTTCCTAATCCCCAGGAGAGAAGATTATTCCATATCTACAGAGTAAAAATTTTTGGTTCTTGCCTACCATGCCCAAAGCCTTGGTTTTGGTCCCCAGCACACAGTATACATGCATGCAAACTCAGAATTGTTTTGGTTCTATGACTGTTATATACTACCCATTCTTCAATTTTAATGGGATGTCTATTATAATTTCCCAACTTCTGTTCCATTATTATAGATGTACATAAGAGGGGCAGATAACTTGCCTTATTTTATGGGTTTTGGTCCAGGCCTGGTGTAGTCATGATGGAGGACTGATAACCATGCCTGGATGAGATGCTGGGTGTTTTGGAAAGGGAACAAATACTAGTAAATTTAGCATTTGGGCAGGAAGTTAAAAACTGTGACCTAGAGGTGAACTGTGTAATGCTAAACCACTGTTTCCACATGTTTTGCCCTCTATAATAGGATTATGCACCCCTAGTCTTCACTGTGGAGCTCTGTAGAGCCTCTCATGATAAGTGGAATATACCTCTCCATTCTGTTGAATGTTGAGCCTGGCTGGCTATATGACTTACTGTGGCTAGTGGATTGTTAGTGAATATGGTATATGAAAATAAAAGGCTGACTGTAAATTACTAAGGTTTTGAAATTGTCACACAGTGAAAAGGAGCTTATTCCCTCACTTAAGTATCATCTTTCTTTAGTAAGCCCATGCAAACTGTGATCTCCATATAAACTCTTTAATTGTTTCTTTAGGCATCTATCCTCATCTATTAAGTCATGTTTCACTTATTTTGTTGTGTCACTCTCCCAACTAGAACATACGAAAACAGAGGGAAAGATTTTTTTGACTCATTGTTTTCATGGTTCTGTTTCCGGCACCTAGGCAGTGCCTGGTACATAGTTTGAGCACACTATTAACAATAAATGTATAATTAAATAAATGAATATTGGGTTAATAACGAGGTGATGTATGTCAGGGTACCACATGTAACATTAACAAGTGGTGTGGAATTTGAGAATTAATTTCACTTCCTGGATCTTAATACTCTCATAGATGAAGTAAGGGGGTTAGAATAAAAATTCTATGATTTAAAATATTCACATAATCAGAAAAACAATTATTACTCCACAATAATGATAGATGCACAAACCTTTTTCCTCGCTGTTAGTAACAACAATAATCAGTGTACCTGCTTAACATATCCAAACTGAAGCAAAACTTGTTAATCATACCTGAGAGGTCAACTTGAGAAGATAAGTCTGAGTGTCATTGGACTCTGAACTTTCAGAGCCTCGACTACTAAAAGAGGAAAGTAATAATAATTACAGTTTTCAGAATTTAAAATTTCAACATTGTTTTCACTTTATCATCTTATTTGAAAGGACAATTCTAATTAGAAAGAGAATGATATTTACACAAGTTATTTATCATATGGTGGTCCCATATAACTCAGAAATGGTATTTTTATTTTCTGAATGATAGAAACTATAAATGTTTGGAAATATGTTGCTGGGATGTAAGCCCCACGAAAGTACCATTTATTTTTTTCTGTCTGGTTCATTGCTATGCCATTAGGGTGGGAATAACACCTGGTACACAGTGAGGCTCAATATTCTTTGTTAATAAGTAAACAAATAAGCAATATATCTGTGAAGTTCCTTAACTCTTATGGATATCATTAACTCTTAAAATTAATTTTTATGTCACTATATTTCTATATTGTTTACAGACAGTTAAGGGCCACCCAAAGCATAATACCTTAAGAAACAAAAGGTCAAACACAAATCTATTTCTAATTATAATCACTTAATACAGTGGTAGGCAAAATTTATTTGCTTGAGCAACAACTCATGAAAGGAAATCTTTCTGGGTTGTATTTCTTATATATATTTTGTTAATTAATAGATTTTTACTTTTTAAAAGCAGTTTTATGTTTACAGAAATGCACAATAGATATTTCACAGTTCTCTTCTGCTATTAGCTTGTTATGCTACATGGTAATTTGCTAACAACTGAGAGCAAATTTATTGTTTACTAGCTGACTCAAAATATATTCTGTAAGCTTTGACAAATTTGTTTGTTTTCTGTTGTGTTTTTTTTGAGACAGGGTTTCTCTGTGTAGCTTTGGAGCCTTGCCTGAAACTCACTCTGTAGCCCAGGCTAGCCTCGAACTCACGGAGATCCGCCTGCCTCTGCCTCCTGAGTGCTAGGATTAAAGGTGTGTGCCACCACTGCCTGGCTTCTTTTACAAATTTATAAAGACAGGTATTTTTCACCACTACAGTATCAAACATTGTCTCAGACATTCTGTTTGACTATCCATGACTCTGTTTCCAGGAAACTCTTGGCAACCACTGACCCTTTCCCCTTCTAGTTTCGTCTTGCCCATTGTGTCTCACAGCCTTTTCAGACTTCTTTCATTTAACAATACTGGTATCAACACTGAAGCAGGCATTTAGGGACAAACTCCTATACTGATTTACCACTCAAGTATCTTTTCCTTTATTTCAACTAAAGGTTTATGAACAAAGCTAGATACACGTAGAGGCATTTCTGTCCACCATCTTTGTGATGAAAGTAAGCATGTGTGCCACCTTTATGCAAACTGAGCAGTCTCAAAGTGTTCCTGTCTGCCATTTTTACCTTTTCAAATCTGCTATATGACCCTGGGCCATGAATGTATCAATGTGTCTGTCATATTTCTTTCATAAAGCATGACTTAAAACTGAACATGTTCAAGAATCTATTCCTTTACTGAGCAAGCTCAGGAAAGTGTCCACCCCTCCAATGCTTTCTTATATTAATATTTACAGGCTTTCTAAGTAAAATTTCCACACTGTCTTTGAGGAAGCCATTTGCTTTTTGCTCTCCTTACCTGCTACAGGTAACAAATCTTTCTCAGCTATTACTTCTTGGCCATGTTTGTTTTGGTTTTGTACTCATCAAGATGAAACCCACTGTATGTAGTTGCAATATAATATGGACTTAGATTTCTGTTCTGTCATATTGTTTCATGGTTTGGCAACTCACTTATTTTTATCATTGAATAACAGTCCATTATATGGACATACTTTAAAAAAATTCATTCATCTATTGGAGGACATCTGGTTGCTTCCAGTTTGGGCAATTATAAATAAAGCTGTTTAAGTACTATATGGACTTGTTTTCAATTTATTTGGTTTAAACCTAAGAAACAAAGTTGAGCTGGGGTTTAGTAGTTCCATGACCCCCATGATGGGTCATACAACTGTGGCTGATCTGCCTGAGGGCAAAGAATCTAAGGGGCAATTCTAATGTGGCTACATTTTCTACATGGTTAAGATGGTTTACCTCCCTGTTGTAGTGAAAGTTACATGACTGATAAGATATGCGACCAAGGCTGAGACATCTGAGAGTGGAACAATCCCAGTGGCCATTTTCTTCTAAATGGTATGGAGTGACATGTGTCCTAGATTAATGGGGTCTATCACACAAGTATCAGGATACTCCCAAGTAGATGATGGACTAGAGGTTATAATAGCAGCCTTTGAAAGTAGCATGTGGTAGAGAGTAGGTGGTGGTAATTGGGGGTGGTGGGAGAAGGTACCCAAGCAGACCCAAAGTCTAAATTGCAGGAGAGTGAGTGAATGCTGTGCTTTCCTGGACCACTTCTCTATGAATCAAAGTGTGTAAAGGGCCAAAAGAACAAACAGGGAAATATTTTATACATCACAGTGGTTCGAACAGATATTGGGATGAATGGGTTCCAGAAAGCAGAGCACTTAAATACGTGAACACCAATTTGCAGAAACAGTGAGAACTTTAAGGGCCAATCAACCAGGAGCAAGGCAATCAGAGGGCAAGAGGAGAGGGGCTGCTCCCAGTAAGAAGACATCAGGCTTGCAACAGAAAAATGTGGAAGTGACAACAACAAAGAGCAGACAGAGAACTCCAGGAAATGGAGATGATGACAGTATCAGTGAGACACCTCAGCCTCCTAGGAGGAAGAGGGCCTGAGTGGATCCTACTGTGGAAAGTGAGGAAACATTTGTGAACAGGGTTGACGTTAAAGAGTCCTGAAAGCTGCCACCAGGGCTCATGGATGCCTGGGACTTGATCCCCAGGCAAATGACCTCAGTAAATGTGGCGCTCCATGGACCTGAGACATGGGTGCATCAGGGTGCTCTATGAGAATTTCAGCATACTGCAGTCTCTCAGATTTTCATGATTTCCTCAAGTACCTGGCGAAGAACTCTGCAACTGTGCTCAGTGCCAGTGATTACGAAGTGGTTCCTCCTGAGTATCATCGGAAAGCCGTGTGAGGGGCGTGCTCTCACTCGTGTTTGGATCTCTGTAAACAGAGTTTGGTTCTTAGTCCTTCTGTACAAATGATGTACTTTGAAGATGTTAGTGTATAACAGAATTGATGTTTGTTTTCTGCTGGATTTTAAACAGAGAAAATAAAGGGAGCTCCTTTTTTTTTCTTTTCTTTTTTATTTCAAAGTTTCTACCAGTGTATTCAATGATGGACAATAGAGACATGCTATAGATCAGTGGTTCTCAACCTTCCTAATGCTGTGACCCTTTAATACAGTTCCTCATGTTTTGGTGACCCCTCAACCTTAAAATTATTTCATTGCTACTTCATAACTGTAATTTTGCTACTGTTATGAATCATAATGTAAATATCTGACATGCAGGAGAGTGGATATGTGACCTCCAAAGGGGTTGTGACTCACAGGTTGAGAACCACTGCTTTAGAGTATTATTATTATTGCCTAGCTGACACAGCTGCTTTTGAATGCTGGTAGTGTTCCTTTGACACTATGCACTTTTATAATATGTGTTTCCTCTAGGACAAAATGCTGATTCCGAGTGCCTAAGGTTCACTTCCGTGCATGTAATTGAACACTCATCCATTTGTGCTTTTTTGTTAAATGTGCTTAAAAAGCCCATCCTTTGCAAGTCATCCTTGTTGTTCCTTACACATTTTATCTTTGTTCAATTGTTGAAGAATGGAGGGTTCATGGTTTTCATATTTCTGTCTAATGCATGTTTTAATATGGTAGATGCAATGCATTGTGTAGGTACAATTTTATAGAAAAGTCACTACTGTAGGAGTTGCTTTCAGATCTGCAATAAATTTTCCTTTAAATTTTAAAAAATAAAGAAAGTAGCATGTATGGGGCAGGATTGTAAGGAGGCTGTGGCATCAGTGGTTTAGCCTTTGCTGTGGATGATGACATGCAATTAAGACTGATTTGTCTGCCCATAAAGAACTTGTCCAACTAAGGGAAGGATTATAAGGAAAAGACACATGGGTGCTATTTTTCATGTCAGTCTATGATTTTGCAGGAAAAATGGAAAACAGGAGAGAATAAAGTGACATGATAGAAGATACTTCTCAATCTACCTTTAATATAGAAGGAGGGAAATCCATTATTCAGCATGAAAATAAAGGCCTTCATAATAGCCTGTATAGGAAACATGACAATTAGGGAATATTCTGCATCTGAACTGCAATTGTCTGCCAATCAAATATGATGTACCTGTTCATCTGCCTTCTCTTTGTAGACAGCTTACTGATGTAGAGAGATACTTCATTATTTTGGTGTGCAATAGTTACAGTGGAGACTCACAAATGGTTAGGTTGCTGAGAATCAGTGACGACTGCTATGGAGTAGTGACTCTATGTCATTCCCTTCAAGGCTCAGGGAACAACACGGAAGAGAAGATGGAAAGAATGTAAGAGCCTGAGGAAAAGGTGGAGTCTGGACAGCTATTTCCTCTGAATGAAAACATTTCTCCTGGAAAGAGTTTCATCAGACTCAGGAAGCTAAGAAATCTTTCAAGGCCCATAAAACTTACAAAGCTCAGGAAACTCAGAAAGTTATAAGATTCACAAAACCCCTACTTCAGGTTACATAAGAAGTCAACCTCTGGGAAGGAGGAGACTTTCTTTGGGAGATATCAACAATCTGGTCAGGGGTCACTATGGATGCAACTTTTGTGAGTTGTCAGGCATGCTGTGAAGGGCTTTTTGGTACTGCAGCAGTCTTTGAGTCACTAATAGTTCTGTTACTAATTCCAATATCATAGGCTAACCAAGCTAAATTTAAGTGAAATTATTCCTTTGGTCTGTTATTGGTACCCTATCTGTGATGAATAGAATTTTATTCACATCTCCTCAGGAAGAGTCACATAACATAATCCCATCAAAAGAGAGGTCCTATTTTCTCACATTTTTACTAGCATTTAGTTTTGTCAGTGCTTTGAATTTTAAGAAATTCTAAAATGTTTGTCATGGTATTGCATTGTTTTAATTTGCAATTTCCTAATGACAAATGTTAAATTTTCATTAGGTTTTTTTCTTTTATTAGTTTTAAGACTTATCCTTTTATTGTTTTATTTTTAAAATATGAATGAATAAGTGCAATTTATATTCTTATTCCTTATAAAAGATATTATTCTACCTATATAAAACTTTTCTGTACTTAAAACAGACTATCAGCATATACAGATTTTCCTTATTTCTGCATAATATTCCACAGTCTCAATGTCTGTCATTGTTGATAGGACACTGGAAAACTACCTATCCTCAATAGCAATTCTAAACCAGGGTAAGAGAAGTAAGATTGAGCATTTTAATGTACAAAGAAATCTTTTATTATCTAGCACCATAAAACACTGTACAAATAAAGTGTAATCATGTGTTGTCTAGAATGGCCCTTGGTTTTTGAGACAGGGTATCAGGATGTAGTCCAGTCTGGTCTGAAATTCATAATCCTCCTGCTTTGGCTCCCAAGTCCCGAAATTAGAGTTGTGTACTATCATGCCTAACTAAAACTGCTTTTTAAACAGCTTGGCTTTGTTTGAAAAATTGAGACATTACTTTGCGTTCCTAGCACCAATATGCTTATCAATAAGAATCTATAGAATGCAGAATTATTTGGTTGGTATCTTTCCTTTTGGAAACTGTTATACTATGTAATATACAATGAAGAAACTTCACTCGTGAAATTCAGTAATATTCTATGTAGTAATATGCATATTTGTCTTTTTAAAAGAGGAACATGAAAACTACCACATGCTTTTAATAGAAAATTGCAAAGAGTTCAGAAGAAAACTTCCAAATATTTGAGAAACTTAGTATACAAAAGGCATAGCTGTAGTTTGTGCTTAAGAAAGCAAGAACATACTAGTAGTAACATGTAAAACTATATGAAGAAAAAGAACTCTAACAATAAGAACTAAAAGTGAGAAAAGTCAACAGAGTATGTAGCACTTGTGATCGACAGAATTTGACAAAAATTGCATAACCATTAACACATGGTTCTTAAGTCATGAAAAAGACTCCATTAGATTATCCAAAACCTAATGGTTACTGTGTAATTTAGCAATAGATCTTAAGAAGATAAAAGATTTACATTAGGAAATAGATAGAAAACATGTACTATTATTCATTGACTCACTTTTAGAAGAATCTATATTAGACAGAAAATGGTATTCTCATAAAGCAATTATAATTCTCATCATAGACTTTCCTCCTGTCCATGTCATAAAACTAAAATTAGATTATCAAGACAAGGCTGTATTAATTATTATTAAATTAATTTTTGATATTTTTATTTGTCACACCAAGTCAGTATTGGGGAGTATTTAATGTTCTGACTATATGTGGCATTCTTCTAATTCTAGGAATTTCTATACACAAATGAGGCATTCAAGGTCTACAATGAGTCACCCTCAGCCTACTTAATTATATTATGTTTTAATATCTCTGTCCTAACACAAGTAAACATCCTCTTGTCCTTCTCTCTTGAGAAGAGAATGAGCAAGGGCCAAGGCAAAGACAAAGACAGATTCTTCAAAGTTGTGGTCCCAACAGTCTAATTAGGCTCTCTCTTCTATAGTTCTACCATCTCCCAACAGTCCCAAATTGAATCCATCTTTAGACTGAACTGGTGGTACAGCCCTTATGACACAATCCTCTCTGGAAATGTCCTCTCAATTGCACCAAGGGCTGTGCTTTACTAATCTTTTAGATGTCTCTAAAGCCAATCAATTTAACAATCAGCATTAATCTCACAATTGTCAACAATATTCAACCCAGGATCCACAACAGGGAAAGGATAGACTTTTCAACAGATGGTTCTAGGAAACTGTATATCTACATTTAAAAGAATGAAACTGGACTTTTATAGTGCATACACAAAAGTTCAAAGTGATGTGGCTACTATTAAAAACAGTATGGAGGTTTCTTCGAAAACTAAAATATAGTAACTACTAGGTAATCTGATAGTAACTGTGACTAATACTAATGATACACATGACTGGGCATCAATCCAAGAACCCAAATCTAGAGCTGACATGATATAGCATTAAAATGTTTTATAAAAACATTTTCAAAAGCAGTTCACAATTCTACTATATTAAGTATCTAAAACAGTCTAATCCAGAGCATCAGAGAATGGTGGTTGTTAGGAGCAGAAGCAAAAGGAATGGAAGTTACTAGTTATTAGACACAAAGGTCAGTTAAGGAAGAAGAGTAAATTCTAGAGTTCTATAGTACAATATTGTACCAATCATCAACAATGATACACTGTCAACTTAAAATTTCATTGAAGGTAGGTCTCTTTTAAGAGTTCTTAACACTTGAAATTTAATTGTAAAGAGAAAATATTTAACCCCAATGCTAAAAGGAGCAAATAAACCCAAGCCAAAACAAACCCTAAACATCTCTGAGTAAAGAAGCCCTTTCTGCATGACCTGAGTGCTTCACCATATGGCCTGAGGCAATGTACCTCTTGGAATTTTATATGTGAAACCTATAACACTATACTAGTATTGCTATAAAGGGCAAACATAGTAAATTTACTATAAATTATACATTTACACTGGCAATCACATTGCTTGATTTCTAATAAAAAGAGATGAAAATATATCACAGAAGAACCTGCACATGGATGTTTATAGAAGTTTTATTTATAATGCTGACACTTGGCAGCAACGAAGATGTTCTTCAGTTGAGTGGATAATTGTGGTATATTCAGACAATGCTTACTATTCAGAGCTAAAAATAAATGTGCCATCATACCATGAAAAGACAGAGGGATTTTATAAGCAAGTTACTAATTTTCAAAAGGCAATTTGAAAAGCTAACACAATACAAATCAAATGACATTCTGAAAAAGGTAAAACTAAGTAGACAATGATAGAAATCTGTGGTTGCCAGTTGTTAAGGAGGAGGAATGAATGGAGGTATGAGCCCATGCAGTGAAGATACTCTGTCTTATATTTTGATGGTAGGACACATGTCATTATAAATTTGTCCAGACTGGAGTATCTGTAAATGTGAACTGGACACTGGGTAACAACTGTCTGTTAATGAAATTCACTCATTGAAACCTATATATCATCCTGGGATGTTGGTAACAGGAGGAGGAGAAGGCTCTGGACATACAGGAATGGGGGACATATGGGAAATCTTTCTCATGTTTACTTAGTTTTGCTATGGACATAAACTACTCTAGATGAGAAAGAGAGAGAATGCAAAAACAATTTGGTGTGTCTTTCACATATAGTAAACACACGGCACACAGCAGTGCTCACATTGAATAAATCAAATGAGCCTTGACATATTTGACCAAAATACTGCACTTGTGAAAACTTTCCCTAATATTAGCCAGAATTTTCTGTGTGGGACTGACAGTAACATCTGAGTATTATGATAAAAGCTCAGTAAAACAATGTAACAATTACTCCAATGAACCTGACTTACCTAGATTCTACATCCAATGAAATTTCTACTAGAGAATTATCTGAATCATCAAAGACTCTTTCCAAGTTTATATGTTTTTCCATTTCTTCTAATTCTTTCAGACACTGAAAATACTAAGGAAAAATTATAAATGAATTCATTATAAGAATAATATTACTTTTTAATTAAACTAATTTAATGATTATATATATCCATAATAACAGTTATTGGGTGACTACATACACCGAAACCCAGAAAGCCATTAGGGTATTAAAAGGGAAAACTTGCCATAGGACAGCAGACAGGTTATTCATCTACAGCTTGAATCTGATACTTACCAAATTGATTTGACTTACCTTGCTCCGGTCAGGATCACAGTAGTCCAATAGAGAATCACAAAAATGATATCCCATTGACTCTAAGTCTTTTGTGCTGAAATGAGTGCCTCGTTTATTGCCTAAAAGATCAAAAAATTTATTCACCCTGGAGGATGAGTTACTCATTTTTTCTTCTCAGATAAACCTAAACTGTGAGACACTATAAATAAAACATGGGTATAATTCCACATTCTGTCCTTTGGATTTTCTTTTCTGGAGCAGGTCATTTAACAGCTTCAGGCTTTTGCTCATTCCTTTCCTACAACCTGGAGCAGAGCTTATTGAACATACATTGATGTGTATTGCAAGGCAGAAGAAAAGTCAGTAAGACAGTTACAGTTATGGTCACCAGTTACTAGCAGTGGTAACTACTCAGAAAAATTCCACAAGAAAATGTCTTTTGTCATCATGAATGATGTTACCTCAGTTTCAGGTTACATAAAAAAACTAGAGGATCTCCAGACATGGTGGCATATACCTTTAGTCCCAGTGACTCAGAAACAAAGATAGGCAGATCTTTGTGAGTTTGAGGCCAGACTAGTCTACATAGTAAGTTCCAGGACTGCCAGGGCTATGTAGAGAGACTCTGTCTCAAACAAAAGCAAAAATAACAACTAGGTAGAAATTATATATATAGATTTCCAGCATTTTCCTTTTTCAAAATTGGAAAAGTTCTTTTATGTAGCCCATGCTGGCCTCAAACTCAAGATCTGCCTGCCTTTGCCTCTTGAGTGCTGAGATTACAGACAGACACCACCATACAACCTAGATTCTATTTCCTAAGAATGTTAAAATCACTGTAATACAGCATATTCTAACTTCACTAATACATGCCAAGGATGACAAAGATATTTCTTATGTGAGACTGAAGAACATAGCTTCATTTTTACTTGCAGAAACCAAGGGCTTCCCTTCAAATATAAACTGACAACAAAAATGAGTGAATGAACCAACCAACCAAAGAAATAAACAATGCAAACAGCCAGTCTATTTTTTGCTTGGCAAACAACAAATCAAACAAAAACATTTTAAGTAAGTGCATTGCTTTTTCTTGACATCATCAGGAATTCCCATTTTTAAAAATCCATAGGAATTCCCTTAACAGCAACATCAAATACTTGAAGATTAGTAACGAAAGAGTGCACCCCAGAACATTCTTCTATAAACAAAAGTAAATGATGACATAGAGATACCACACAGTAGAAATTTATTCATCCTCTTTATAGGACTGATCAAACTAAGGTGTACCTTTAAGTGGGAAGAACATGTTCACTACCAAACTGTTCGTATCATCAATCTTACAGTAAAGCCTAGACTGATTTACTGTTCAGGAAGAGGTCATCAAGGACAATTACCAAGGGTAGATCCGCAGAAGGTGGCCTCCAGAGTGAAGCTGTTCCTGATGCCCATCTTCCACATCACAACCCTTCCTGTGCCCTCTTTGCTCTTCTGAACATTAAACTTGCAAGCTGAGAAGGAAAACTGAGAAGCAGTGATTAAAAATGGCATGTATACTTTTTGGGAAGAGGGTAAGAAGGAACAAGCAGGCAGCCTCTTTTCCTTTATTATTATTACACACAGATACAAGCACCCTTTTGCTTAATTTTGTTACATACAGATACATATGTACAAGTATAGGGGAAATAAAAAAAGCTCAAGGGAGAGTAGCTGAGAGTGGCTGGAGGGAAAAGAGGGGAGAAAGTGATGTAATTCTCTTTCAACTAAAATTAAGTGGACAAAAAAAAAAGAACAAAAAATAAAATAGCATCTCAGCAAAAACTGTAATTCTCAAAGCTGAAGATGTTACCTTCTATATCCTGGTCATTAAATATAACTATTTTTATTTTATGATTTGAGACAGGATCTCCTGTAACCTAGGGTGTCCTCTAATTCACTCTGTGGTTCAGACTCAACTTATGCCACCACCGTCCAAGCTGGGAAATAATTCATTTAAGGATGATGTATTATATTTTGAGAAATAGAAATTATAACCCCAACAATAAATATACTTTTATCATCATATAACTTGTCCCAAATAAGCTTATTAATTTCTGCTACTATTAGTACAGGATCTTAAACTTTTAGAAACACTTCCTGTTTTGTTGCTCACTTGCTTTTTGCTTTTTTGAGACAGTGTCTTGTTATATAGCTCATCCTAGCCTCATACTCATGACACTCATCCCTGCTGCGATTACAGATGTGTGCCACCACACATAGAATCTTGTATTTCTAGAAGGTCTGCACGTTTCAGAAACAGAATGAGAAGTTTTTGCTTTCATATGAAAGACCTTGTGAAGATGTACTGAAACACTGTTTATAAGAGATCAATATTGTTTTGGGTTCTTTTACTAAGACAAGTGTCCACCAAGAGATTGGTGGGGTTATTTTTAACATAAGGTTAATTTTTATATTGCCTCTACAGTCAGGAAGCAGAGAAAATGACTGCCCATGCTCAGCTCACTTTCTTCTTATTTAGTATAGGACCTCAGCCCATGGAATAGTTATGCCCATATTTAGGTTGCAATGGTCCTCTCACTCTAAGTAATCTAATCTAGTTAAACTTTCAGTTTAATGTTCAAGAAACTTTTGCCTATCTTCATGTGACAAAAGTTTTATATATAACATTTAAAATGTAAGTTTTAGGTGGAAGATATTTTAAATGTGACTGCCCGATTGTTCCAATACCATTTACTGAAAGGTCTTCTATGGTGATATTTTATTTGTATTAAAATGTTATTTGCATGTTAATAAAGTTACCCGGGGGTCAGAGCTATTAGCAAGCCATAGGAAAGCAGGGCAGTGGTGGCGTACGCTTGTAATTCCAGCACTTGGTAGGCAGAGCTGGGTAAGTCTCTGTGTGTTCAGGGATACAGCCATTATTGGATACACATGCCTTTAATCTTAACACAATCATGGAAAACCTGGAGGCCTATACAGACAGGCCGTGAGGAGGCGGTCATGTGGTTGGGTTTACAACCAATGAGAAGGCAGGACAGGAACTCTATATAAAGACTTTAACACAGGGGTAGCTCTGGTTCGGAGAGGTAGGACCACCGCAGGAGGAAGGGTAAGGTTTTACCTCTTAGCTCTGACCTCTTGGCTTTCTTCTTTGCATTGGTTCTGTGTTTCTTATTTAATAAGAGGTTGGATACATCTACAGTCTTCCATCAGATTTCCCATGTACAGAGGACACACACACACGCTGCTCTACTACTGTACCAGACTTGCTCTTAGTATCTATGCCCCTCCCTATACTCTCAATCATGATTGTTTTATGCTATCTGAAAATTTGATAGTGAGATTCCTTTAACTTTTTTTCCAAAATTGATTTGCTAGGCCCAATTTCTTTGCATTACTTACAACAATTATGTTTTGATTTTTCGTGGAATTCTGCTAACTACCCATCATTTAGGAGAGAGTGAATATCTGTGTTTATTGTCTCAATCCATAAATATAGTATATCTCTCATTCATATGGATCTTTGTCAGTATTTTAAGGTTTTAACATATAGATTTACACATTTTGTTAGACTTATAAATACTCATTACTATGGAATTATGACAAAATAGTATTGTCTTAAATTTTGGCTTACAGCTATTCATTTTGATTAGAAATTTGGACTGACCTTTTACCCTACAACTTATTTTAAAAGTTTTTGTAGATACTTTGAATTTCATATGTGGGCAAATGTGCCTTCACTGCTTCTTTGCAGTGAGTCTGCCTTCTTACCATTACTTTAAAATTTTCAGAAAGGTGCATAGAAAGAGAAGTATAGAACTGAGACTATAGCTCAGTGGAAGAGCAGTTACCACACATGTATGAGTCCCTGAGATAAGTCCCTAGTCCTGCCTTAATAAAGGAAAGAGTAAAAAGAAGTATCCTTTTTTATGATTTGATGAGAAAAATATTATCTTTAAAAAAGTCTCAAAAAGTCCAATATGATGTTAAGTATAGAATTTTTAGATGTCTCTTATTAGATTGGAAAAATCTTTAATCTTTATTTAATAAACGTCATTTTAAATTTTAATTCTTTGAAATTTTCATACATGTATACAATGTATCTTGATCATATCCACTCTTCACTCCTCCCTTCCAGTTCTTCCAAGACCCTTCCCATCTTCTCTCCCTCCCAACTTCATATCCTTCTTTTATATATGTATTTTTTTATCTGTTTCAATGTGGGAGCCCAAAGAGGCTTCCTAGTGAGGCCGTACTCAGGTTCAGAGAACATAGGCTTGCTTTACCCAGCAGGGCTGCATAAGGAGATGATTTGGCCATGGGTGTGTTTACCAGGTGTTTGGAAGGGTCTACACTTGGCTGTACAGTGTGCTTTGATCTTGCAAGGGTGAGGTCTTTTGCCTCTCCCCTTGGCATATTATAAAAAGACCTTTTTAATAAAGTTCTAGGTGGCTGGGTATTGACCCAGGGCCCTTCCGAAGCTATCCTGTGTCTCTGTCTTTCTTATTTTCTCCTTCTATCTTTCTATCGTTTCCTCATTGCTCTCTCCTCCACCCAAGAATCCTTTGAAAGGTGGGAGTAGGTTGGAGCTGGACTCTGGCAGACTCCCACATTTCAAATATCATTTTATTCATTATTTGATAATTCCATACAATATATTTTGATAATATTCATTTCCTTGCCTCAATTTCTCCCAGATCCTCTCACCTCCCTAACCACCCAACTTCATGTTCTCACTTTCTCTTTCTCCCCATCATCATCATCATCCATAACAACAACACCCATGGAGTTCAGCTTGTTTTGGTCTACTACTCCTGGGAGTGGGGTATGTGCTGGAGTGTGGCCAATACAGTAGGTATCATCCTATTGAAGAAAACTGCCCAATAGTTCCTTAGTTAGGGGTAGGATTTCATGCCTACTTCCCCTGCTCCATGTTGGAATTTTGTCAGGCTTGTCCTTGAGCAGGTCTTATGTATGTTGTCACAGTCTCTGTGAGTTAATATGTGCATCTGCCCTGTTGTATCTAGACAATGCTGTTTCCTTGAAGTCATCTACTTCAAGACTCTTTCTGTCCCCTCTTCTACATAGATTCCTGAGCCTTGAGAGTGTGATACATACAGATATCCCATTGAAGGATGAACATTACAAAGTCTTTTATTCTCTGCATGTTGATCAGTTGGGGTTGATTAGCATCTAATGCAAGAAGCTTTTCTGATAAGGACTGAGCAATGTAAGGATCTATGAGTATAGCTATGACATCAGTAGTTTTATTGCTACAGCCATTTATCAGAATAATAGTAGTAGGTTTCCCCTGGAGTCCATGTCCTCAGGTCCTCGTTGGCACATGATACTATATGAGTGTGGAGGCAAGAAGGTAACTTGTGTGAGTTTATTTTCTCCTTCGACCATATGGGTGCCAGGTGTCAAACGCAGATCATCAAACTTAGCAACAGGTGCCTTTACCTGCTGAGCCATCTGTTGGCCTAGGAATTTTAAATATGGAGTGACTATTTCTTTCTAGAAAATCGATATAACTTCTGAGAATATGGTATGTCTCCTAAAATTATTCACTGAAATATATGTAACAATATTTCAATGTTTTATAACAATTCAGGAAAAAGTTTCATCAAATTACAAAAATCCAAGGGTTCTTGAATAGAACCACTAGGATACTCTTTTATTGTGCTTGTCTGCAGAATCTGCTCAAACTAATATCCCTCTTCCATTCTCGAGTTAGTAATTTTTGTCATCTTTCTCTTTTTGGTCAGTTTTGGTAAAGTGTTATCAGTATTAATTGATCTTTCCCAGTATAAGCTTTGTTTTATGGTTTTCTCCATTATTTCTGTTTCCAACATCACCAACCTTTTCTTTATTGTCTGCTTCATTCTGCTTGTTTTCAGTTTAGTTTGTTTTCCCTTTTCTAGTTTCTTATGTAGAAACCTAGACATTGACTTGAAATCTGATTTATTCTAATATAAACTTTTCTTATTGCAAATTTTATTCTAAGCAGTACTATATTAGCTGAATCTCAGGATATTTTTTCTTTATCTTTTCTTTTTTTCTTTTTTTGGTTTTTGGTTTTTCAAGACAGGGTTTCTCTGTGTAGTTTTGGTGCCTGTCCTGGAGCTCACTCTGTAGACCAGCCTGGCCTCAAACTCACAGAGATCTGCCTAGCTCTGCCTCCTGAGTGCTGGGATTAAAGGTGTGCACCTCCGCTGCCCGGCCAGAATTTTTTTTTTTAATGTAGTACACTTCTAATCTTCCTTGAAATTCTCTTTGGTCTCTCTACAAATGTGGTTTAATTTCCAAGAGTTTGGACATTTTCTTCTTTCACTGATTTCTAGTCTATTTCCCTCATGGTCACAGAAGATACTTCATGATTTGAATTCTTTTTATTTGTTAAGATTTATTTTAAGGCAGGATCTGGTTTGTACTGATGACTATTCTATGTCTATTTACATATATTGTATATCCTGCTCTTCGGCAGAGTTGTTCTGTAATGGTAAATCAAATCCAGTTGATGTTGGTCAGTTCTTACCTATCTCACTGTGGGAGTCTGTGGAGTTCAGCTCCAACCTACTCCCACCATTTGAAGGGTTCTTAGGTGGAGGACAGAGGGATAAGAAAATATCAGATAGAGAGACCTAGATGACAAGAAGAAAGACAGAAATACAAGGTAGCTTCGGGAGGGCCTGGGTCAATACCCAACAAGAGGTTTATTGAAAAGGTCTTTTCATAATATGCCAAGGGGAGAGGCAAAAGACCTCGCCCTTGCAATATCAAAGCACACTGTACAGCCAAGTGTAGACCCTTCCAAACACCTGGTAAACACGCCCATGGCCAAATCATCTCCTTATGCAGCCCTGCTGGGTAAGGCAAGCCCATATTCTCTGACCCTGAGTAAGTTCTCACTAGGAAACCTCTGTGGGCTCTCACGTCTCACCTGTTTTCTACCCACCTGTTCTTGTTTACTGAGAAAAGCATTTTAAATCTACACTCTTGATTGCAGATTTGCACGAATGTTGTAATGAGAAAATGTTTTAGAAAGAATATAGAATTGGGGGTGTCTATATTTTAAACAATCACTGTATTGGGTGGAACATCTGTTTAAATGCAGATTGGTTGGTTATGGTGTTAAAAAAACGGGTCCATTTCATTTAAGGCGCAACTAATTAGAAATTGAAAAAATCAAGTAACATATCAATAAACATACACTAAAACAGCTTAGAGAAATGGGATAATTTTTTAGGAGTAATGAATTCCACCTATGAGTGCTGACATAACATAATAATAGATTTGGGTATGGGATTTCTTTCTCTGATCTTCCCAAAGGGATAAATATTCTTGGAGCAACCAACCTGTTCTTTCAATAAATAGCTATTTCTAACAGATCATCCTTTCTTTTTGGTATGTTTGAGCCCAAATTAGCCTCAGACAACAGTGTTTCCCTTAAGCTATTTATAATTAAAATGCTTGGTTAAGAACCTGAAGAACTATAGGATTTTTTTATTTGTTATATTACTTCTTTTCTCTAAAAAAGTAAAATTACTTCAAAAATTTGGTAATTGAGCAGCTCCAACATTTTCACCATTTGCAAAAATAAATACACTGCATTCTCTTCTAATTCTACTTTCTATGTATTTTTGAATATTGGTAATTAAATTTTTTTGAAAAGTTCTAATAAATTATTGTATATTTCTTAAGATCACAATCTTTAGTCTGTATAACTTAGACACTAAAAAAAAACTTTAAAAAATGTTAGGTCTTGAAACTGATAATGCAAAAGACAAATAGAGGAAACTTCAGAAGGTAAAATATTGCTGGTCTTAGAAGGTAAGAATAGGGAAGCTTTGGGTTTTTTCTTTGAAAATATTTCCAAATTATTGGGCATTAAACAGACTCCAATAGTTGTTTTCTCATAGTTTTGTAAAAATCAATAAAAAAAAACTAAATAAAAAAAGTAGGTTAGCAAGTAGGCTGGCCCACTTCACTTTCACACATGAGGGGCATTTACCAAAGGAAAGTTAAACTCTTAAAGGTACTTACTTGATTTGGGCAATTTTTGCTCAGCATGAGTGGAAAGATTCGTTGCTGTAAGTATAATCCTTTTGTTTTAGATCTGTGGCTACCATCACAGCCATACATGAAAATGTTCTGTTTCCTACTATGGCCATGAAGATCACAATATAAAATAACCTCTCGTTTCTCCATTAACCTATCAAAAAGAAAAGGTCTAAGTCACTAAATTTTAACCTCTGAATCTTCTTCTATAGGTACTATAGATTTACAAGTTAATAAACAAATACAATTTAATATATATCCTTTTTGACTTTTATGCTCTAGTTTTCCACGAATACAGCAATTTTCTTCCAATCCCAAGACTCGTAGCAGACCTCTCTGCTTTGTACTTTGGTTTTCTGTTGTCCACATAAGACAGATCACCCCTTCCTTTGCCCATTACCTTAACAAATGTTCTACTTGACAGGAGAGTCAGTCTTCCTCCTTCATCTTTTAGGTTCTCAGCTTTCAGACCAAGCTTTGTTTCTTACCCTTGCCTACCCAGCCAGCTCAGTGCAGAACTGATATGGTTCTGGAACTTGGCAACACCTTTATCATACTATTTCCTTGTTACCTGTCTAGGAAATTTTCATGTTTGGTACTTAAGCTTGTTAAAGATGAGGAATGATTAAAAATCACCTAGAACTGTGCTATGTACACAAGCACCCAAATATTTGTTAAAAATTGAGTGCCTCAGAACTTGGTCCTGGAAACAATGAATAGTTAACCTCTGAGAATACCATTCTGAGAAAAATGACACTAAAATTTAAACTGAGTTTTTCTAATAAAATTCTAATAAACACTTAAAAGAAATTATCATGTATTCATTAAAAGGACAACCCATCACCTGTACAATTTAGCACTTGGTTATTTTAAATTAAAAAGCAAGCTTCTCAAACTGATGATGAAGTGTATTGGCAGAAGAGGCTTTAAAAGTGGCACTATGGTGGTACTATTAGCATTTTTGTCTCTTTCGTCCAATTTTCAGGCCTTATATGGCATTTCTATATCACCTAATCAAAATTACATGTGTTATTTGTTATAGCTAGAAGGGTAAATACTAAAATGTTAACAATGGTATTACACATATATATTTATTAAAAAAATCAAACATCACTTTTATTATAAACAATGGTTATGAAATTTAAAAAATGAAATTTGATGTGCATTTACTACTTTATTTGATAAAATCCATTTAACACAAAGGAATCAACACATCATTACAAGTTCTTAGAAAACTAGATTTTAAAGCATGACCATTAAATATGAAACATGCCATACATTTTTAAATCTAATATTCAGAGGTTTGGTAATATTTCAACTTCCTACAAGAGCTTCATTAGAAAGCTGTACATCTATGCAAATTAGTTCCTAAAGAAATATTAGTTCCTAAAGAAATAAGTAAAGTGAGATATTAGTATTTCTTTCCTTGCATTAATTAAAATAATAGTTTGGATTTTCTTTTTGTCCACTGTTAATTAAGTCTTATAAATGTTTGAACTAAATATCCTAATATCCACTCCTATGTGAACATGCTTTAAGTATACTTAATATTGTGTAGACTTACAACCTGTCACCTTCCTATACATAAGTGCTTGTCTTCTTGTTTTTCTTGTCTGCTCTTGATTAACTGCATTAAAGGTATTTCTCTTTCTTGAAATTCTTTCAGAAATTATTGAATTGACTCCTGCCTTAACCTCTCTACAAGGCAACTTGAGAACTGAGACATTTAAATTAGCTTCCATAGAGACAAGCCAAGTTATATTGGCTTGTAATCCATCATGTGTCAGACCAGGAATTCTTTTTTTTTTTTTTTTTTTTTTTTTTTTTTTTTTGGTTTTTCGAGATAGGGTTTCTCTGTGTAGCTTTGTGCCTTTCCTGGAACTCGCTTTGTGGACCAGGCTGGCCTCGAACTCACAGAAATCCGCCTGCCTCTGCCTCCCAAGTGCTGGGATTAAAGGCGTGCGCCACCACCGCCCAGCTAGACCAGGAATTCTTTTTTTTTTTTTTTTTTTTTTTGGTTTTTCGAGACAGGGTTTCTCTGTGTAACTTTGCACCTGTCCTGGAACTCACTTGGTAGCCCAGGCTGGCCTCGAACTCACAGAGATCCGCCTGGCTCTGCCTCCCGAGTGCTGGGATTAAAGGCGTGCGCCACCACCGCCCGGCTAGACCAGGAATTCTTAATATCAAAGATCATTAAACAGACAACATAGATAATGTAATAGGCATTCCATCAGCTACCTTTATATATGTTTCATTTTAAAATAACAAGATCGACACAAAAGCTTTAAAAGTAGTGCTCTAGTCTACTTCTTTTGTAGTTTCTCTTTTGTTTAGCATATTGAATAACTGTTATGCTCTCAAAAACAAAGAAGCCAATCTTGGTATATTACTGCCATGAACTAACCTCCCAACTTTTTTTATTTCATTAGTTTTTCCACCAATGTCCTTAATTCTATGCCAGAATCCTGGACATATTACATGTAGTCAGCCCTTCTTACTGTTCACATCCCCAGAATAAAAGAAATTACAGGTTACCCTTTTGTTACTTAAACATTCCTCAAACAGCTACAAGGAGGCCTGGAATCCACATTTGCAAAGGCTATATAAAAAACAGGATTTCAGGTTTTTATGGGGTTTTGCACTTCTTGCTTTCCAAAGTAGATAAAAAGATTTATCTGAAAGTGAAAGTTGAGGCCAGACTGTCTGAGACAATCATAGCCACACCAGAAGCCTCTACCTTCTGTCCATTTCTCTGAGGAGCTGGGAGTGACCTTTGGTTCCTCAATTCTGTAACAAGTACCTTGTGTCTGTAGCTGTGAGAAGTCCTGGTATGAAAGCTGGATAAGAAGACAGTAATTTCTATAATGGGAGTTGTTGTTATAACAACTGAGTAACTCTAAATATTTACAATGAGTTTTCATATCTATATAATTTTAATAACACTTCTTTTGCATGTGAGAAATCATAATCATATGAATACATTTAGAGCTTTCAATGTTCTGTTCCTTATTTGGGCATATTTGTAATACTTTTCTCATTTAATCCTCTCAACTTTGTGATATTAGTCCCACTCTAGAGACAACAAAACTGAGACTTGTGTTGGTTTTTAAATTGCACAAGAGTGTACAGGTAGCAAATGATGTAATGTCAACTCCAATATAGTATGTTTAAGCCCCAGGCCTATAGATTGGATGTTATGTTCCCAGCAGACTTTCTATTCCTGATTGTTATTACTTGTCTCTATCTGATAGATAATTCACCCTTCAAAAAACACTAAAGTACTAAGTTGATTTTACTGTCTTAGATTTAGAAATTTTAAAGGAGTTCAAATTTTTCTGGGGGCAAATGAGACTATTATTCATGAAAATTTAAATAACTACACCAACTAATAGTCTAAGGACTCATTCAGCATTGTATGATCAGCAAAATACCAGAAGGCTTTGGTCTGTAGTTAATTTTCATATATAAATGATAAAAAATACAGTGTAACCATAAAGGCTACTATAAGCTTTAGTAAGAAATCAAGTTTGTAATATGCAAACTTCACAGTTTCACAAAGCCATTGAAATGTTCTGAGTCTGTTTTATCTTTAAGGGGAAAGAGTTTGTTTACAGTACCAGAAAGGTGTATGATCAGAATTAGAAAGACAGTAAAATTGCTTATAAGCTACCTTAAGGAAAGTTAGTGTAAAAGAAATGAATGAGATTGTATGAGCAAAGTTCTTATTACCAAATTTACTAATTAAGCAGAGATGCAATTTGAAGATTATTTTACCTATGGATCATGTTCCTTGTATACCAAACAGAAGGGAAAGACTCCTTTAGGAGAGATGTATAATTACGGTTTAAATCCCGTCCAGCTAAGGAACATCGGTAATTTCCCACAATCACACCATCTGGATTCAGCATGGGTACCACCTTGAAGATGAAAGTGTCCCGAAGCAACCGTGCATCACTTGAGTCTCCTAAAATATAATCTAGGAAGCCTTTCATGATCCAAGAGCTGTTGGTTTCTCCTGGATGGACCCTTGCAGTCAAAATCACAGCCTTGCGCTTTCTTGAGTCACTATTCTTCAAGGGAGTAGTGATTGTTAAGACATACACCATATTCCTAGCAAGTGTGTGGCACAAGACACGTATTTTACAAAACTTTGATCTTACTGGGTCACTGTTGATGCCAGAAAGGTATTCTTGAAGGTTGGTGTAAGTGTATGGATAGCAGTGAGCAAAGTAGCAAGTATCCTTGCTGTGTGGAAACTGAAATGTCCATGTAAGAGAAAAAAAATGGCGCCCATCTTGCCCAAGGTTGTTTTTATAATACTTGATTTGGTCTCCTCTTCTCTGCCAGCCAATGTTATGGGTCTTGGCCTCTTTTTCAGAATAGAACAGCGGCCTCATACCCCGATTGTAAAGACTAGCAGGCTTGGTGAAGTTGACAATAGTGAATCTGTAGACTATTTCTGCTTGAGTATTAGTGACCTGGAAATAGTACCACTGAGTATGCTTATTTGTGAAGAGGTCTGGGCGCACAGTCAACTGGTATTCATAATCTGCCCTAATACACAAAAAGGAAGGAAAAAGCACATAAGAATGATATATCAGTTTAAGTTACATTAGAAAAATAATCTTATTTTTATCTATTTTATATAGTTATAGACAGCCTTTTTGGGAAGAAACAATGTATACTTAGAATTTGATAGCAAACAACCACAAAAAATAAGTTTTGGAAGTTTTATTTCATGAGAAACTGATCATATTTAAATATGTAGCCTTTGTTTCCTTTGTAAATGCAGAAATTCAATAAAATCTTGTGTGTTTCAATACAATTATTTCTATAACATAAACAGGTAAAGAGTTATTGAAACCGAGTAAAAAATCAGTGTTTGATTTTTCCCCCTTCAAGCACATACTTCATTTTCTAATAATTCCAGTTCTAGGAATATAAAATAACTATCACTAAGAAAGTTCTGACAGACATGTAAAGTAACACAATCACATAGGTTTCAAAATCTGAACTCGCAGTCAAACAATCTGATAACTATCTGTACCCATACTTAGTCACTGAAGTCACTGAATGAAGGCAAAACACTTTTCACTGTAAGATTTATTTACATGCTAATCTTTTCTGATTGTGACTTTTCCTTACCAAATAGCTTTTTATAAATGTTCATATACATAGAGTTATAAATACTGACCTAGGGATGGGTTAAATAAAAATAAACCCTTAATACTTCTAATTAGTTAGCATTTATACTTCAAGAATTACAGTTAAGTAATGGAGACTAAGAACTTTAACATACCTAATCTAAAAAACAGTAAATAGCTAATGGCCTACTTCCTCTAATAAAAATAATTAAAACCTACACTTTGACTACCTTCTGTAGATTACCACTCTCAAACCTCGCTTCAAACACCAAAGTGTTGTCACAGTTATCCACAGGTTGTTTCAAGGGTGTTCGGTTACCCCCAACTCGGGAATACACAAAACAGGGCTCTTTGTAAGCTGATGAGAGAAGACCACATCAGTGACAGTAAGATATCCAGATAATCTCATCTACAACATGTCTCTAAAGAAAAGCATCACAGGCATAGGCAACAATAGTTTAAGCAGAATGACAAATCAGATATTGCATCAACATTTGTGGGCTGGGGTAAAAGCTTACAGCTTTAAATGCTCCTAAGTTTTAAACACTACATAAGATTTAAATTGGAGGACAAATTCTGGATTCTGCGTAGGACACAGAACACTGGAAAGTGCATTGTTTTAGTATTGTAACAGAAAAAAATGCTGTGAGTAAATTTACAACTATTTTTGAACTACTGAAAATTCTATTATCTATGGTTGCAGGACAAATGCCCAATTCAAAATCAAAGGCCCTCCTAAAAGAGGGATGGGTCATGAGTACTGGCTTACTTGGTGCAGACCACAGCGAGGAACATTCATCTTAAAACAATCAGTTAGGGCTGGGCAGATGGTTCAGTGGTTAAGGGGCACATGGCTCTTTAGAGAGCCTGAGTTTGGTTACCAGCACTTATACATATTAGGTGGTTCACAACTGCCTGCAACTCCAGCTTCAGGGGATCTAACGCCTGTGACCTCCACTAGCACCTGCTTTTGTGTTCATACTCACACAAGAGATACATAATTTAAAAATAAGTCTTTTTAAAAATTACAACTAGTCATCAAAAGGTTGAGTGTGGGCTAGAAAGAGAAAGAAGACTCTCTGAGAGAATATGAGGGGTATATAGGCATAAGGGGATTTTGTCCCTCCAATAGTTCTTCTCATAGACATAACCTGACATTCACAAAAAACATTTCTCAGAAAGCATTATTTACAATGCATAAAACCCTACCTCGATCATTTTTCCCTCCTCCTTATGTGACAAAATCTTGAAACCTTGTGAAGTAAGGACAACCAACACTGTCATCTTTAGGGCACTAGTGTTCATATACATTATCTGGGAAGAGAAAACTGTTTTCGAAAATCCCAAATCCTTTATTACTTGGGGAAAGGCAGGAATGACAGGATGGAACCAGATGTTTTATTGCTGACACTGGCACACTGCAAATGCCTCATGTGTGAGAACTAGGGACAAAGTGTGTGACTAAGAATCAGAACTCTGTGGTCTCCCCAAACAGTGTAAGAGGACATGAGTGAAATATAACAAGGATTTATGAATTGGAGAATGCAGAGTTCAGAAGGATTTCCCTGTAGTGTAGTATAAAGGAAAGATATAAAGCTAAGAATGGTCCAGAACTGAGACAATACCTCTACATCATCCTAAATGGTGATGTCGAGGAATCTGAATCCTATGCTATAAAGGCAAGAAGACCAAGAATAAATCTAATACTAACTTAATCCCCAAACTGACTGAATCAATACCCCCAATCTCATAATATATACTTAAATAGTTAGACCCTGGAATTTTTTTCAGTTTTCACACATAAAAATTATTTGCTTTTCTTTACCACCTACATAAGCTCCTCAGCTACCAAACAGAGAATTTCAACACATATGCTCATACATGCACATACACAGAGACAATTCCACAGACCTGGGTCCAAAGGGAAAATGATATAACCAGTTTAATATAATGAAGATGTTGGGTCAATCAGGTAAAAAATTCAGAAGGAGTAAGATAAGTTAAAGAACCAAGTGTAAAAGAATATGTAAGATCAGTTGGAAATGTAAGAAAACATTGACTAGAATATGACAAGTGAAAAGCAGTTACAAAAACTGAAACTGCCTCTGATGAGTCATCAGGAGACTTTACAGCACAAAGGAAATACTCAACAAACATGAGGATGGTGAACAGAAACAGCCCAAACTCAAGCAGGAGTTTCTAAAAACAAAAGTAACACAAAACAAACAAAACAAGAATGCTGGGTCCAAGACTTGTTAGTATCAAATAACCTAACATATTCACTTTGAAATCCTAGAAGAAGAAAAGTATGAAGAAACAATACTTGAGATTCTGACATTAGTCACTGACACCAAAGTTTTAAAAAGTTCAAGGCACAACAAACATATCTATGTAGGAATAAGGATTAAGAGTCTCAGAGGCTACAAGTTTGGAACATTTTTCAAGTGCTGTAAGATAAAATTTGCCAAGTAGACATTTTTTTTTTCTGAGACAGAGAATAAATTTTTCATTACAAAAAATAGTAAAGTTTTCTAGGCAGAAGTGTTATTAGATAGAAACTTGGATCTGTACAATAAATTAGATAGATAGATAGATAGATACATAGATACATAGATAGATACATAGATACATAGATAGATACATAAATACATAGATAAAATGCTTGAAGGCCAGGCAGTTAGATAGCTCAGTCAGTACAGTGTCTGCTGAGCAAGCAGGAGGATGTGAGTTCAATCTCCAGAAGCCACATTTTTAAAAGTCAGGTGCAGTGGCAGAGCCTCTAATCCAAGCACTGGGGAGGCAGAGACAGACAGATTCCTGGGGCTTGCTAGGCCAGCCAATGTAGCCTAGTCAGTGAGTTCCGGGTTAATGAGACCCCCTGCTGTAAGATCCAAGGTGGACAGCATCTGAGAAATGATGCACAGGTTTATTTCTATGTTCCACACACATGCATATGCTCACATATATGTGCATGCATGCACATACAAACACACAAAAGAAGTTAGTACTAGAAATTAAAAGTAAAATAGTCATTTTTCTTTTTTTAAATGATCTAAAAGATCACTAATGAAGAAAACAGTAACTTTTCTAGCACGTGAAAAAGTAAAAAAAAAAAATTGAAACTAAGACAAAAAGAAAATTGGGAATGCATTTTTATGATTTTTGTATTATATGTGAAATGGCAAGATTTGAAACTAATTTTTATATTTATTTTAAAATTACTAGTTTTTAAGGATTTATTTTTATTTTTATTTTTATATGTATATTTGAGTGCCTATATTTACGTATGTATGTGCATGTCTAGTGCCCATGGAGGCCAGAAGAGGGTGCTGTATCCCTCGGAACTGGAGTTACAGGTGGTTTTTAGCTACCCAGTGTGGGTGCTGCAAACTTAACTGGGATCCTCTACAAGAGCAGAAAGTGCTCTTAACTACTGAGCCATCTTTCCATCTCCAGTTAATTTACTTTTGGGACAAGTTTCCTCTGTGTAGCTCAGGCTGGCCTTGAACTTGTGATCCTCTCACTCAGCCTCCTGAGTGCTAAGATACAGGCATGTGCCACCAACACTAAGCTGCAAGGAGAATCTTTCATAAAGACATATACTGAAAAACCTAAGGCCACACAAAAACCCAAACAGGTATACATATATCAACAGCTGTGATAAATAGGACTAAATATATGCAAATTAATTGCAAAAGATGAAATGTAATAATAAAAAAGATAGGAAAAATACAACATAGCAAGATGGTAGGTATTGAATCCAATTGCATCAAAACTTATATTTACTATATTAATTTAAAAACATATCTTCAAACTATATAAAAAGCAAAGCACAGCTATATGCTGCATGGGCCTATATTTTAAAAAATGAAGAAAATATGTTAAAATAAAATGATGGCGCCAGGCATGATGGCACATGCCTTTAATCCCAGCACTTGGGAAGCAGATGCAGATAAATCTGTGAGTTTGAGGCCAGCCTGGTCTACATAGTAAGTCCCAGGCTAGCCAACATTACACAGTGAGACCTTGCCTCACATAAACAACAACATCAAAAAGAAAAAAACCAAAAAATTTTTAAATGATGGAAAAAGATATAGTATATAAATACTAATCAAAAGAAAGCTCCAATGGCTCTTTTCGTATCCAAGTATTCTGCTATGGATAAAGCTACGTCATGTGATGTTAGCACAAGCATCAATATATCAGCACAGAACAACCTGTCTAGAAATAGATTCACATGTGACATGTATACTGTGAGCTGACATTTCATAAAGGTAGCTAGACATTTCTGTGGAGGAAGGGATAGTCTTTTCAATGGTTCATGGTGAAATATTTTCAGAAACAGATATGTGGGGAAATAAACCTTAACTTTTATATTCTAAGTCATGCATCAAAAAATTATTCAAGCTGGGTGGCAGTGGCGCATGCCTTTAATCCCAGCACTCGGGAGGCAGAGGCTGGCGGATCTCTGTGAGTTCGAGGCCAGCCTGGTCTACAGAGTGAGATCCAGGACAGGCTCCAAAACTACACAGAGAAACCCTGTCTTGAAAAACAAAAAACAAACAAACAAAAAAATTATTCAAAATAGATCACAACTATAAAAAGGGAGCAAGTTGTTACATAGTTAGACAAGGATGAATTACTTGGCATATAAGAGCATCAAGTAGCACGGTGAATTTGAAGAACACAATTCTGAGCCAGAGAAGCCACACACAAAGGCATGCTTGCTATACGAGTTTATCTCCAGGAAGCTTAGGATCATTGACAGAAATCAGAACAACACTTGCTCAGGGGAACATCTGGGAATTCACCAGCAGGTAGACAAATAGGAACTTGAATATTTTCACACCAGTGTTTAGTGGAAGGATGCATTATCTTTAAAAATAATTTAAAAATTGTAAATGTAGCCTATTTCACTGTTTATACAATTTACCTTGATTTAATGCCCCACCCCCACTACTCATATCACACAATGTCAGTCTTCCATAGCCTATCCTAGGGTTGCAACTTTCTATGAACCTTTAGTTTTCATGGGTATTTAATTTATACCTTACCTATTGAAACCTTTTTCTATTGTTTTTATTATTAATAAAAAATGGAGAAATCTAAGTATTTTCAAATGATCTTTTATATGCTGGGCGAAACTCAAGTATGGTAGAAAGTTTTCATCTTCAAATCTTATTTCCATTACTTTCCCTTCAAACCATTTAAAAGCAGATCTTCACAACTGCTAACTTTAACACTAAAATAAGATGAAGTGGTTTTTGAACAGCAATGGACATTGTTTCTCCTTCAGGCCCGTCCTCTACTCTTCCCACTGCAAAGTTCTCTCCATTACATGTTTCTGTGGAGCCTGATCTTCACGAGCTGTCTGGGATGGTCTTTGAGCCTCTGGTTGAGGACAGTAGTAAGCTCTGGTAGGACTTGGGAAGGCTGTCTCCCACCAGTGCCACAGGTGGCCGCTGTAGGGTTCTCTACAGAAAGCCACAGTGCTTGGGAGCTGCCTTCTCTCCCAGGTCAAGGTTCTCGAGTCTTGAAAGCATGGCACTTTCTTACTCATTCTGACCTAGAAGACAGGCCATTGTCCTACTGATAGCCTCCCATTGCTCCCGTGACTGTCTCCCTCAGCCCTATCTACTCTGCTGTAAATTCAGTAAGTTTCATTAAGCACTCTTAAGTTACTCTATGTAAACTTGGACAGGATCCTTACTAACCTACACCACGTAATCATAGTTTAGTGATCTCATTTCAGTTGTGTGGAAGATCTAAGGTTAGTCATGTAAATATTTGAAAAAAGTTTAGAAGTTGAGAGGTACTTATCACCTAGTGTTTATATATGTATGAATGAGCTCCAGTGGCGCAATCGGTTAGCGCGCGGTACTTATATATGTATGAATATGTGATTTCTAGGATTGTCACTGTATAGAAACAGTCATTGTGAATTTTTCTTTGGCATTTTTGCCTTCTCAATATGTATATTCCCTGGAAGCTATTTTAATACATAGAAACAATAAGACATCAGACTCTGATGATGAAATTTTATAAAAGTCCCATAATTCCTGATATTAGTGCTTCAGGGACAGATTAGGACACTGGCTCAGACTTCTGTTGGGTTATCAGCATGCACTATCATAAAGGCAGATAAGACTTTTGTATTTGTAGAGCTCTCAAAATGCCAATGCTGATTTTGTATGTTAAGAACACATTCCTGGACTATAATCTTGGATCTTATTTGCAATGTGGACTATTTTCTTTTCTTTCAAAGATAGTAACATAAAAAAACCCCACAAAACAGGGATGAAATTAACAGCGAATCATTTGAATGATTCTACAAAGGTAAACTGTACCTTTTACAGGGAATAATGGTTTTGCAGATACCATCACTAGATTTATATTTGAAAACAAACAAAACATATTCATTCTATATGGAACTCTCCATTTAATGGACAGCATATTTTAAATGTGTCTTCAAAATCATAGTCAGCACTAAACATTTGCATTAATATGTAGCCATACATTTTTAAGACATCAGGGACTTCCTAGTGCTTTGAAGTTCCCTCTACAGATAAAAAGTCTAAGACATCAAACCAGGCACCAAAGTGTATTTTACAGCAATGTGTTAGAGTGTATGCTCACCATCTTCAGCTAGATAAACCACAGTATCTTCCTTGGAGTTTGGGTAAACAGGTTCTACTTCCAGGCCTGTCGGGACATACACCGGCTCAGGAAAAAAAGGAGTCCACTCTAGAAAAAAGAAGGGGGCATTATTTGAATATGACTTCAACATAAATTTTAATATATGCTTTCAAATTACTATTTGATATATACCTAGCTTCAAAGTCAATGTTTCATGTAGGGCTGGAGTTTTATGAAGGATTCATCACAAGAAATAACATTGTCATGCTGTAACAAAACTCATGATCGGATGTGCACCTTCTTCTAAATTACTGTGCAGTTTAGCAGCAGTTATTTTGTGCTCTTAAGTGCTACAGTCCCGTTTCTACGTCTCTTGAGTCCTCCTCACCATTTTACCCCACCTCTAAGTGTCTTGCTCATTCTTCCTATTTTCTGCTTCCTCTGTCTTCAGCCATTTGCTTGGTCATTCCTTAAACTTACAAACACATTTGTTTCTTCTCTCTCCGGGAAGAGTGAATATTCTTAAACTTCCACAAAAATTCCAACTGCAACTTTTTTGGGGATTACACCAAATCTATGGCTTAGTTTGAGGATAACTTATGTCTTTAAAAGAATGAGATTTCCAAAATAGTACTAAATCCTTTCCAAATACTTCTGTATTCTAACAAAGAAGAAATCTTCCTATATAGCCATTAATACACCCATCAAGACCATAATTTTGATTTGTTACTACTGTCCAATCCTAAGATCCCAATAAAGACTTTACCAGTTGTACCAGTAGTTAAAAGGAACCACTTTAAAATTGCACATTACACTTAGGTTATGACATTTCTGAAAAGTACAGTCATACTTCCAATTTCAGCTAAGAGACATATAGAAGAAAAACAGAACATCATCCTCACAATAAAAAATCAAACTGGATGAATCCAAATTATTTTATGAATCTACTGAAGTTGCAGTCTACCTAGGTACTTCAAAATCTGGGGACAGACAGCTGGACATCTAAAAGTCAAAAGTAGACCCTGAGCACCTGTCTAAGATGTTGTCAACTCCACTAACTTTAAAAGGGCACAGCCACAGACTAACATAAATCCTGAGTGTGTGAAGTCCCTTCTCAGGGAGGGGGATATAGGACACAGAGGGTTAGCAACTGCTTCTGGACTTTGCCTCCATTAACTTCTAACAAAACTCCATTAAGAGCCATCTATTTTTTCCCTATAGAACAAGATACATAATCTAGAACACCCAGTACATCTGGAGAAAGGGAACAGCAGAATGCACAACCTTTGAGTAGAGGTCAACCATGTGAGCTATTTATTATTTTTGTTACATTGTTTACTTATTTTGTGTGCATGTGGGCACACACATCCTACAGGGTACATGAGATCAGAGGACAGTTTGTAGGAGTCAGTTCTCACCTTCCACAACATGGGTTCTGGGGATTGAACTCATGTTATTGGGTATGGCAGCAAGTGCCTTTATACAGAGCCATCGAGACTGCTCTATCCATGTTATTTTGTCTTTATGTATCTTCAAATTCTCATTTCACATAAATGCAATCACACAATAGTTATCCTTTTTTTCTGACTTCTCAGAAACGTTTGTAAGGTTCACCCATCTTGTTGCATGCTTTTAATACTTCATTCCTTTTTATGGTTAGCTGCTATTTCATTATATAGCTACACCACATTTATCCATTTATCTCTTGATACACATGTGGATTGTGTTCATATTTTGGCCATTATGAATAACACTGCTACTGACATTTGTGAGTTTTTGTTTGGACACATTTTCTTTTCTTCTGGGTGTACCCAGGAGTGAAAATGCTGAGTCAAATGCTCTTTGACTTTCATGCCAAAATGTTTCCAAAGTGAATGCACAGCTTTACATTCTCTCCAGCATATCAGGCTTCTAGTTTCTCTACATCCTCATCAACACTTACCGTGATCTGACTTTTTGGTCTTAGCCATCCTAGTTCATGTAAAGTGGTATCCCAGTGTAATATCAATTGCTTGATAGCTAAGATGTCAAACATCTTTTCAAGTGTTTATGGGCAGTCTTTTAAACTTCTCTGAAGAAATGTCTTACTGGATTCTCTGCATGGATTTTTAAAGAGAGGCACTGATGACAGCAGTATGTCTTTAGGAGTCATTTATTATAGGAACATTTATATGTTTCTATAGCAGAACTATAATATATTAGGTTTTCCCCTAGGGCCATGACCTATCTAGTATCAGGTTCTTGGCCACTTTAGCAGTTTCAGGTATAGGTTCCATTTCATTGAGTGGGCCTTATATCCAATAGAAAGTGGTTGGTCATTCCCACACACATTTGTGTCATGATTGCATCAGTATTATTGCTATATGTATTATTGTTCAGTAGCCAAGCAAGGGGCTTTACATCCTACATAATCCATGCACTGCATGATCATGTAATTTGCACACAGCATCACGCAATCTATGTGCATGCATGGCGTAGCTCTGTAAGCCCACATGCACATGTGTAGGGGAATCCACAAAAAAATGGGTCACAGACTCCTCCCCTCTTCTCCTTCTTCCTCTCTCTCCATGCACAACCTTCCATGGGCCTAAAGCACATTCCCCTCTGTTCCTTCTCCTAATAAACTCTTATAGTGGGTTTTGTTGTAGTTTGTGGCTTTCCTCACATAGTAAACAGTACCACTTAATGAATAACATAGTACCGCATAAAACTAACAAGTATAGCTTGTAGGCAGGTTTCTGTTGTAGGTTGCAGGGTTTGTAGCTGGGTGATATTAATAATAATTATATTCCTCCTCTAGTAGCATGAAGAGTACCTTCCAGTACTAGGAATTCTAGTGATAAAACTTCCAGTTAGGGACCAACTCAACTTCTCCATGTTCAATGACGTAAGTATTTTGTCTCAGCAACATGGCCTTATCATCAGGTTGTGGAGAGCAACCAATAGCCTTGGCAGTAGCCTGTGATGTCTGGGGAGTGCCATGGGACCCCTGTGGTCAACAACTCAACAGGATGTAACCCATTTCTGGCATTGGAAGTTTTACTTGGTGGCTTAAGTATCTAGTTGGGACATTGCCTCAATTCATATTCCTTTCATATATGTATATTAAAAAATCATCCTGAAGGTAGCCCAGGCCTAAAAAGACAATTATTATATATTTCTTCTTATATGTGGATGCTAACTTTTAAGCATTTGATATGTGTGTCACAATCTAAATAAAACAGAGGTTAAGTAGCTAGTAAGGGACTGAGGAGAGGAGAGGATTTCCCAAGGTAAGGAAATAGAATATAATGTTTGGAGGAATAAAGGGGAAATCATTCAGAAAGCATTTTTACTACCTTAATAGTTTCTTTGAAAGTATAATGCTCTCAACTTGAATGAAATGTAATTTATTGTTTTTGTCATTATTCTTATTTTGGAGTCATATCTAGAATCCATTTCAAACCCAAACTTCGGGAGTTTTTCCTTTATGTTTCCTTATACAGCTTTATAATTTTGGCTTTCATAGTATATTTAGATTTTGATACTTTTTTTATATTTGGTGTTAGGTGGTAAGGATCAAATTTTATTCTTCTGCATGTGGTTGTTTATCCAGCTGTCTCAGTACAATTGTTGAAAAGATTAATCTCTTACTGAATAGGTTTGTGACCACCATCATGTGGGTTTATTTTGTACTTTTTTTTTTTCTTTTTTGAGGACAAGATTTTCTGTGTAGCTCTGGCTGTCCTAGAACTAGCTCTGTAGACCAGGCTGGCCTCGAACTCAGGGATCTGTCTCTGCCTCCTGAGTGCTGGGATTGAAGGCATGTGCCACCACACATGTTCAGCAATTCTGTACTTTTAATTTTATCCACTTGTCTGTTATATATTCTCATGGAAAAATAGTTCCAAACTCTAAATAACTGTTAGTTTACAGTAAAATTTGAAAGGAGATATGAGTCCTTAATTTGATTTTTCAATTTTTTTTTTTAAATTTTTTGCTACTCAGTGTTTCTTGAGTTTCCATATAAATCTTAGGGTTGATATGTCAAGTTTTACAAAGCAATTAGTTGGCATTCTAATGAGAATTGAGTTTTGTTCTAGTCTACTTTCTGCTGCTGTATATATATTTCAAAGCTGCACAGTCACCTCCATAGTCTAAACCCTTGAGACACTTCCAAATACTGCCGACAGTGACAGTAGCTAGAGAATTAAAATGGAGATTACACTTCTGTGCCACTTAAAACAAGAACCAATGTACCAAATTAAACCAACATCCTGACTCATCATAGGAAAAAGCCTTTCACTATGAAAGCTTATTTGTAAAATTAGAACAGGCAATGGATTCACAGATATGTAAACATCAACACAGAAAAGATGCAGCAAGGAACATAAAAATTGCCTGGAAACAAACTATAGTAAAGGATATTTAAAAATGCCTTAAAGCAGTGGTTCTCAACCTTCCTAATGCTATGACCCTTTCATACAGTTCCTCATATTGTGGTGACCCTCAACCATAAAATTATTTTATTGCAGCCAGGAGGTGGTGGTGTGTGCCTTTAATCCTAGCACTTGAAAGGCAGAGCCAGGTGGATCTCTGTGAGTTCGAGGCCAGCCTGGTCTACAGAATGAGATCCAGGAAAGGCACCAAAACTACACAGAGAAACCCTGTCTCGAAAAACAAAACAAATAAACAAACAAACAAAACCCCAAAAAACAAAAACAAAACAAAAAAGAAAAAAATTATTTTATTGCTACTTCATAACTTTAATTTTGCTACTGTTATGAATTGTAATTTAAATATCTGATATGCAGGATATCTGATATGCGACCTCTGTGAAAGGGTCGTTTGACCCCAAAGGAGTCAGGACCCATATGTTGAGAGGAATTAAAATAATGATCCTCAGGAAATTCAATAAGATGTGAGAAAATAGACGATTCAGGAAAATGAAGAAAACAATTCATGATCTCACCAAAAAACTCAACACAATTAAGATATTAAAAAGAACCAAACAAATCTTGAAGCTAAATGACTCAAATGAAATAAATTTGACAGCCTCAACAACAAACTAGTTTAAGATGAATTTAATTTTAATTGATTTCTAGAAATAGCAAAAAGCAGAGATTTCA